AACAGAAGTTGGCGTGACGCCTCACAACTTCAGGCAAGGCTGCAACGCACCTTCGTTTGAAAGTGCGTATTCTTCAGTCATCCAGGACTTAAAACGAAGACGATATGACCAGTGGAAGCCCAAAGTCACAGTGAAGCTTGTTCGCGCATACCTTAGTGGTATTGACGAGCTCACTACCATAAGACTGATCTTACAAAAGAAGGTCGAGCTCTTCAAAATCATGCAGCTCGATGTCAAAAGATTTGAGACTGAAGACAATCGCTTCCGCAAGACGCCTGATAATGCCGAAGGAGAATCATCAATGCAACGCTTGATTTGGGCAATGAATACGGTGAAGTACCAGCATGAATGTTTCGAGAGACTCTTGATTGATTTAAAGCAATCGATGGATGCCGTAAGCTTACCTCAGCCGACGCGAATGGATTCATCTGCTGACGTCCAAATTCCCAGCTCTTCCAACTGCGTTCGATCGAACAGAATGAACTAGCGATAATTTCTGACAGCCAGAACAAAGCTATTCTCGTCTTCACCATCGTAACGGTCATTTTTCTACCCCTCTCCTTTTTCACCTCCTACTACGGCATGAACCTTACCGGCATCGTCAACACTGACAAGACCGAACACTATTTCTGGAAAGTCTGTGGCAGCGTCGCATTTCTTATTGTTCTGTTCACTGCCTTGGGAGCTTTCAGGCATAAGCTGAGGACCCTGCTTAGACATAGGATCATGAAAGCGCCTAGCGCAATGGTTTGAGCTTTTGTTCGTCTCTCCGGATGATTGTCTTTGCTGTATGTTTGGTTGGCTTCTTGGCATGGAAGAGGGCCTTTGGAGAGATAACCCTTTCGATGATACACTGTTTTGGCGCAGCATGAGCGATCTCGGAGTCTTGGAATCTGCATTGCAGCATGATGATGGTTAGATGACCTTCGGCTTCTGTCTTTGTAATTCATTGCACTTTACAATACCAAGTATGATGTAGACATTCGATGCTTTCGTCACAACCACTCCATGTGAAGTGAATGATCTGCGTGAAGGAGGCGGGACACAAGATCGAGGCGCTGTACTAGTACACACCATGATTCACGATCCCGGAATACGGAGTCGACGGGATACCACGCAAATCTAATCAGGCGCTCAGACCAGCAACTTCAAAGATATGAAGGTCTCGTGAAATTTGCTTTGAGGTTGGGCGCACATTCCGTAGATAGCCCTGCATAGATACAGATGTTGAGGTATTTGCAACGCCAAAACACCAGATCACAAGCTTGGTGACGTTCATTCCGTCGTTTGTCGTACTATGCCTCCGTCCTCGCCTGTTTGCTTCCCCTACAAGGACGTCAACCTGAAGCTTACCGGGCGGTGAGGCCGATGCTTACCGTCTTCTGCCCTTCGACTACTAGTCTGTCCAATTGGAAGAATTGACTGACCGTTGTTTGTCTCTGTAATTTTGACATGGGTCAGCATGCCACCCTGGCAGCAGCATGACTGAAAATTTTGCCCCGTAGCACCTCCATGACAGCATCTTCCCAACGCTTTCGCTTTCCTCAGTCGCAAACGATCATCTTGTCAGGCTCACCTTCATCATTTGCAGCTCTTTTAGTCCTCTCTGTATCAGCTCCTGTGTCTCCCTCTCCCCAAGGGTTTTGTCATGGTTCTCTCTAAATGCGTCTTTTGTCCTTCGCTTTGCATATTCACGGAAATTATAGGCAGCAAATTGAGAAGATTGTCGGAGGAGGGAGCGGAACTATAGAGGGAGGCAGACAAGGTCAGTCATGACCTTACAATGCATGTGGGTGAGTGCCCACTAGTGACCTTGCTTGGAATGCAGTATCTCCTTTCAGAGCTGCCATTGACATCTTTGAGTGGTAGAAGTGGACTGCAGATGTAGGAACAGCTCCCCTTTGTATTCAGAAACCGCACAGTCCGACGATTTATATCAACTCAGAGAAACTTTACGCAATTGCAAATTTTTCAGACCGCACAAACACTATAGATTTGGTAAACAACTGTTTGCTGTCAAAACCCGAGAGCTTTCATGTCCCCAACGATCTCGCGCATGACGAGATCTTGTCACGGCTTCTCCCGCTGGACCCCTGTTTTAGCGTGCATGATCGGCATTGTGGGTGTGTCTCAAATAAAGCTCAGGTATTATCCGGAGGAACGCTTTTCGTTTAGAGAAAGGCAATGAAGATACGCCCACGATGGTCTCCCAGATTCACTGGTTACCGTCGCTTCGATTTCCGCTGAGGAATATTTCAAGGGAGTGTATTCTAATGTCCGAATGCGGGGCAAAGTGCTCTCTTTCTTTGCCAGGGAGTGCATGTGGAATCGAAGGCATTGTTAAGGGCCAGCTACCACATTTTCGCTCATATTTGGCATTGTAACGTGCATGAGCTCTATGGAGCAGGGGTAAGCCCTGCTATCTATGTTGAGTGACGCTACCGTTACCGCCCAGACGTTTCTAAGACTGTGTGGGGGCAACCCCAAACCTAGTTTCAATTGCGCCCGCTGTCACCATGGGAGCATGGCTTGGTCTCATATCATCATTCCTTAGGCAGCGCGGGGGCTTTCAGCACGGATCCCAGTCTCCCATCGGACAACCTTCGACATGTCATCCTCGTCCTTTGGTATGTCCAGCTCTGCCTCAAAGTATCCAGGCATATCGTTAACAAGCTGGAAAAATGCAAGCATGCTCTTGTGGGACCTTGGCATGATGCACTCGGTGAAGGCAGATTCGCCTGAGGAAAAGCAATTACAGCTGAGCTCCTGGCGACCGGCAAGAGGCGTCTCCACTGGTACACTGTGGATCAGGTAGGCACGGGCACGCTAACAAATGGGCACCGTTAGCATAGATTCTCACAGACAGTGTGATTGATGCGAGAGATGATACCAGGAACCTTACCTTTCCCCAGAAATCTATGAACTTCTCGTTATGGATGTCATCTTGGACCCTCCACACAAACCCCACGCCCACACAGATAGCCCTCACTTTGTTCTCCCAGTGTTTCCAGTTCTGGTCCAGGTATCCCACCGCCTCCTCGGCCCCTTCCCCCAACCCAATCAGATCGATCATGGCATCTTGCCTCGCCAGCTTGACCAGCACCTCCTCGAAGACGCTCTTGACATGCTCTTTTGTGCTTCCATTTCCGGGTACACGATTTTTGACAGCATCGATCCTCAATGGATTACTGACGCCGGTCTTTCTTGGTAATGCGTTCCAACTCGTAATCGTCACCGCACGCTGGCCGCGACGGTACCACACGAGCTGGCCGAGATTGGCAATGACGATTGCCGTGCCCGCATTTGATTCTCTGGATTGAATAGCATGGACAAAGTCCAAAGCAGAGCCGGAAGCAATGGAATTCTGTCCTATGATACGATGGGCAAAGATTCCGAGATCCTGCATTGATTCACCAAAGTAGACGATTAAGCGTTTTGCGGTGGCGAGATTAGAGGAGGTGAGGATGGGAACATGTGGATCTGAGGGACCGACGTTCAATGGAAGTCGGGTGATGTTGAGGCCGGAAGCCTCGAAGCGCGCACTGAGCTCACGGCGAATGCAAGCTAGATATCGCGAATCGAAAATTAGATGAGAAGGCAGTCAACTTGAGGGAAGACTGACTATCAAACGCTTCGCGCTGCATCTCTCGGACCCGTTCATTTTTGCTGATGAAGAAGTTGAATTCTTCGTCCGGGTGGGCGATGGAGCGGATTTGGTCTTTTTCGTTGATGTAGTACCTAATAAGATTCAGTATTTGGATCTAGTAGAGTAAGGAAGATAGTGGGTCACCCCAATTTCTCCAGATCCGCAGGAAACTTGGGGTCTTTGGGCAGACTGCTGCTCAAACGTCGAAACATGGCGAAGGTGGTTGGTTGATTAGATTTGGATGCAGGACGGTGTAAGTGGTCAAGGAATAGGTAAGAAGAGCAAGATGTAAAGAGAAGGATTTTAGCTTAGGTTAATCAACAATACTGATGAGTGAATGATTGTCTTCACACTCGTTGGACCAAAATTAAGTAGGTAAGGTCGAAAACATAAGCGGCTAGCCGAAGTGATGCGAAGTCAGGCACGGTCAAAACAATGTCAACATCAATTCATCAACGAGATGGGCGAAGATGCTCGGTTTTTTGCTGAGTGCGATGTGAACGCCACCATTGGAGTTCTCTTAGAATATGCTCATCATTCTCTGCCATGCTATGCCTTCACATATGTACAATGTCATCTTCGCCCGGCAATTTCTATCACCAACTAGCCTTTTTGACACCGGGTATGTTCCCCTCGAGGGCATTCATTCTAAACGGATACTACACGCACATTAAGTGTCCTTGACACAAACTGTCACATGGAGTTGGACTCACCCTTGCCATCCTGAAATCCTTGAACACGCCCCTCGATTTCCCTCCCTCTATACATCTGTTATTGATCTGCGTAGACCTGGTGTAGCAGTGCATCTGCGACAGTTGTAGTTGCGCTTGGGCGCGCGCTCGTCCTGGGAGCGTAGTGTTTCTGATGATGTAGCGGAGGGCTTGTCTAAAAGTAGTCGCACCCATCAGCAACTTATAAGGTACTAACCTGCTCACCAGCATCCCGACGAGCCCATTGAAGACAATGTATACGTATGATAGGAGGTGATCGCTTTACCTTTCTGTCTCGTACTGCTCGAACACTTTTCTAAGAGCAGTCAGTATTCTTCGAGCTAAGGAGATCGAGTAGGACCCACCGCTTTGTGTGATCTCGCAGCACTCTCACGTTGATGAAGCAGCTGAGATCTAGTTTCTTTGCCCGGAATTGCGACATAATTGATGCGCAATGACTCAGAATCACCGAGCAATATAAAATTTACTTGATTCTTGTTTCTATGTACATAGAATATTCGGTCCTTGCCGTAAAAACTTTAGTGCATAACCAAGAACATTGCCCCTCAACTGCGGCACTACGAACCCTCCCTGCTACTTTCTCCTTCCTGTGAACGCCTTTTCGCCCCTCCATTGCCTCTACGATGTCCATTACAAGTCAGAATGCATTGATTGGCACACGCCATGTCATAACGACTATGCGTTTTCTCTACGATGAAAGCTTCAGGGAGATCAAAGGGGATATCGATGCTCCAGCAAATGAAGCGCACGCCATTGGTGAAGTAAGAAGAGATCGTGCTGGGAGCGAGGATTTCACGAAGCTTTTTGGCATGTGCCTCTGAGCTGAAGCACAGTATGAGCCCGATCACAAGGACTCTCTGAGCTGAGACACATGAGAATGCCATGGAGGCTCTACTATTCTCAACCGTCTAAAGGATCAGCGTCACGACATTCCCTCTTCTCAAGCATTCTCGCGGAGTGTGGGACCAGATGCACAGACACGTCCTTAGCGATCAAGTTGTGCACATTGGTTGTCAAGAGTATTGGGGCGATGGAGGATCTGATAGACCAACTACAAGGCACAAAGGAAAGGGTCGATATCACAGTCTATGTCAGGGGATAGATTCAAAGGATCGAATTTTCAAAGAGATTCATGAGTGGTCGAGATTGGGGAGTGAATTGCTACAAAGCCATGGCAAATGCCATTCTAGCCTGGGATAGAGCTAACGCGCAAAGAGGGTGGACCTGCGTCTCTTCCCTGTTTGTAAGCAGACCTATTCGGAGACTAGACTCCTGTTATATTCGACCATTGTCATTTCCTTCACGGAAGCATCAGAATTCGAGCGACTTGTCAAGTCGCTTTATCCAGATCAGATCAGAACACCTCGAGCTCTACTCGTCACTCCCACCTTAAAGCTATCAAATGGTGCGATAACACTGCTAGCTCGAGGCTATCCTCTCTGCCTATTGGTATGCAGTTGAGCACACTGCACATATGTCTCGCTGCTTGGTTTGCCTTTGTTAAAGTCGTTTCTGGCTCAGCAGTAACTGAACAACGAACGTGAACCAGGGGTCAACTCGGTCTCGGAGGGCCATGGAACAGTGGACGATCAGACAAGGGGTTTGTAAGCGATCGATTCAAAGCCGACACTTTGATGCAGTCAAGAACCAGCGCACGTGAGATCGATGACACGGTCCTATTCGCTTACGATCGAGAGCTGCTGCAATTTGAGCATCGTCTCACCACAATTGGAGCGATTGCCGATTCGATGGAGGGACACATGCAAATATCAACGTTTCAGGTACGATTGCAACAGATGATCGAGACACTGGCGAGCGATGGAGCAAAATTGCAGGGATAATGGGACGTAATGAACGAGCTGAGAGAGGGAGGATCGCAGATGGAAGCGGAGGGGGTCGATAAAGAATGAAAGGAATGCAGCGGAGGGTGAATCGGAAGATGATGAAATTCGGACGCTGAATTCTGCGCGGGATAGGACTGCGAGCGGAGACACGTGGGAACGTGAGTGAAGTCACGGCAAGTGAGACACAGAGAGAGAATGTAGAGCACCACGGCCATTTTCTGGCATTTCAAGTTCCACCCTTCAAAAGACTCTTGACTCTGATGCCTTCATCCCTCAAATGCTGGCTTATATGAGAAGCCGCTTCGAGTGCCATCTCGTCAAACTTGAACATCAGCCTGCCTCATTTGTGATTCCGGTACCGGAGAAATTAGGACTATGTGTAATCGGTTCAAGGCTGACTTTACCGAGTCACTCGTCTAAGCGAATGATGGCAAATATCCATGCGTGAAATTCTCTACCTAAACTTATGCTTCACCCGTGATTCAACAACAGGTCCCCATTTGCTGTAATATAGAAGAGCATCAAGCCTTGAATTGAAAGCTTGCAGACCCAGCCTCTTTGACAAACGGCTTTTCCGTCGTCGGCTTGACTGTCTGTTCTCATTCACCCAACACCTGCTTCCCCTTCTCCAACGTCTCACCATTCACATCCGTGGGCACACACTGCGAGCCGGGCTGCAGGATGTCCTCGTCCCAGTAGCTTATGCACCTCTCCCTTTTCGGACCTCGGCCTCTACGATGGCGGTCAACATCTGGACTCAGCTGCGCCAGCGCTCCAGCTAGTTGGTCTTCGTGGATCGTAAAGTCTCTGCGGGCGGTTGACATCTCCGTCTCCGCCCTGCTGGAGGCAATCCCGTCAACACGAGCCCTCTTGCGTTTTGGAGGGAGGCTAAGATGGCCCTGCAGGGTTGAAGGGTGAGCAAAGTGAAGAGCCTTGGTATGTTGGAGGGTTGCTTGAGAATGAGTCTGGCGAGAGTGGGACGGGGTCAATGCTTGGGGGTGTTGTGCAGGAGGATGTGTAGGCGAAGAAGAAGACTTTGAAGGGCTGATATTCTCCTTGTTGCTGGATGCTCCTAACGGAGATTGCAAGTCTTGCTTCAAGTTTGACACTGATACTCGTGGTCGTTTTGGGGATGAAAGATTCGGTGCTATGCTTTGTGAAAACGGAGCGTCATCCATTAGCAGATCCTCTGTGCTACAACACTGCTTTGGCGACCTTGAATGTCCAGATTTTGTTGCCTCTACAATTCTGTTGAGCCATGTGTCGATGTGACAGCGCTGTGTTTCCTCCGCATCTGAATGAGGGAACGGCAGTATAAATGGTACATCATGAGTAGAGTGTAAGTCGTCCCTGTCAGAGCCAGGACTACATGCATCAGAGCTAGACCGTAGTGATGGCCAATTCTCCAAGATCGGATACTTCACCTCTTCCGGGTTCTCGACAAAACTGGGAGTCGGTGCAATTGGCGTTGCAAACCCGCTGCTGATGGGCTCTTTGCCCTCTTCTTCGAGTTGTGATGGTAAAGAGGCGCTGCTGACCCTCAGCGCATCATCAAGACACATACCGCCAACGTCGATAGCCTCGCCGAGACATTGATTAGTGAGAGTCTCAGGGGTAGCGCAACCAGCTTTGGTAAAGGGTGTTGGTGTCGGAGAATGTGGCCCAATTCCAGAGGCCCAATGACGACTGACCTCCGACGACGCCCAGCCCGGTTCACATGACTCTCCTAGATACTGACTTATCTTTGGGGAGCGACCCAGGCCTGACGAGACTATGGTATCGTCCTGACAAGTACTGCCAAATTTGATGCTGCGAGCTTGCGAGAGGGGTAATCTGGACCTCTTGATGTTGGACCACGATGGATATGTATGTGATCTGCTACCCTGCAATGAGGTTGCGGCGTCGCGGAAGATCATTGACATCTGTGCGCCGCGACTAGGGGTCGCTGTGGGTCGCGAGAGATCTGGCATTCGTCTCCTCTTCTTAGCACTGTTTGGCGTAGGCCTTCCCGGGCTGGTTGGGAAGGTAGTTGCGAGATTGGCAGCAGTGAAGTCGTTTGGATTGTGGAGGTTGTCTGGTATAGTCGTTGGATCTGACATAGCGATGCCTTTCCCGTCCGCTATAGAAGCTGCGTAAGCCTACCTCGATACTCTAACCCGCATCAAATCCTCATCCAAGGCGCGCGGAGCTCCACATCAGAGCTTTGGAGCAAGGATGAAGTCTTGGATACCGGACTTACCAGTACCAGTACCAACGTGATATAGTTGATCACGCAAGGTATTCCCAAAATGGTGCGCACGAGGAGAGGCCATGTTATTACAGGACACGGCTCTGACTGCACCCAGTGGTTGAAGCAGTCCGGTGGGATGATGAAACGGCTACCTCAGGCAAGGCTCCTTGAATGGAAACAAAATGAGAGAACAGACCTCACAAGATTTAAAGACTTTGTGCTGACCAGGAAAAGGAAAAACTGCAAGTTGGTATACGAATGCTTGAAAGGAGAATTGTTCAATGTACGAGAGACGGAGAGTGAGGCCAGGATACTGAACGCCTAGTAGAAGAGTCCTTGTTCTGATCGTGACTTCCTTAGGCAAGCAAATCTGATGATAAAGAAATGGAAGGTCCGATGCATCGCATGAGTAGCCGAACCTTTTTCATTTCGGCATGTTCTCATCCAGACTGATGCGCACAGTATTAAGGAACCCAAATGTAGCAATACATCTACAGGCGTGTTCTCCAGCACTTAGAAATTGATTGTTCCATCTTCGCTCTGGAGTCTGACTAAGATGATGCTTGTGAGTCTTCCAGCAAGGCCCAAGGTCCGAGGTTGCGCAGCGGGCTTGAATGAGGGAAGACGTTTCGTGTGGTACGTCGCTGGCTGTGCCCTGGATCCCGGCAGACTACGCCACCACAGGAAAACGTCAGCATCAAAACACCGAGTCAGCTTCCGAGTGCAAAGAAGAAGGCGAAGGTGGCAGTGTCAGAGACGAAAAGGATCCAGATTACTTGATAATGGATCATGATGGAGACACTGAACAGATGAGAGATGGGCCCAGGTGATTAGTTGATCAGAGTTGAAGCTATTCAGAGCATTGACTAGGTAAGGTAGCGAGGGTAAGTAAGGTAAGGTAGTCACTAGGTAAGGTACTTTAGCTACAAGTAGTTGATATCTTATCCGGGCGGATTCCCATCAAATGCGCATCATCATTATTATTACTGTATTTACTTACATTACCGTCCATCTCCAATCTCCACGTGTCCATCGTGTGACGGTGTGACAGATACCTTACAATGTGTTTTTGCTCTCATGCCATGCCAATCATGCAGGTAAGGTAGATTAGATTACACTAGCGTCCTGATCTAATTCCCAGTGAATTCTTTCATTTCCATCAAATTGCTCCAAGTAATAATAGTAATAGTAATACCTAGTAATCTCTCGCTTTACTTTGCCTGGCTAACTTGCCCTTGGTACGACTGTCGAAGCTGGCGAAAGCGAAAGCGAAGGCGAAAGCGCTCGTCTTTGCTAGGTTGATCAGGCACCATGCTGAAACATGGGCTTCGGCTTCTTCTTCTTCTTCTTCTTCTCCTCTCGCCCTCCGACACTCGGCAAGAAGTGCACCATCACACCTCCTTTGTCTTGCATGCGTCATGCTTCTCACTCGCTTTTGTTCTTTGCGACGGCCGAGATTTGACTATTTGTAAGGAAGATGTTTTATTTACAGCAACATAAGGTAAGATTACTTTGTGGTCCCTGAAAGTGGTCTTGTCGTGTCTGTGCACAAAGAAAGTTGTCGAGCTACCCACGAGTCTTGAACCGGATCATACCTTTCCTTACACTTGCTTACACTTGCTTGCCGTAGGGTCATGTTGGAATTTGGATATTCCCAATTCCCAATTCCCATCTTCATCCCTTCCTTCTTCAAACCAACATCAAACGCCCCAAAAGACAAAATAGAGACCCCTGCTTCACCTCCTATCCAATCACAGATTGCGCTTCAGGCCCCTGCTCCCCCTGCCGCTCTGCTGCCGAAATCGTCTAAACTCCAAACGATCCGCCCGTTTCTTCACTCGACTTATTAACCACTCTTTCATACATACAACCTTCTCGTATTCTTGTCCTCGTGTCTCTCTCTTTCTCATTCGCATCGTTACCGCTTCTTTTTTTACAATTTTATTTTTGGTTGCTCACCATATATCACCATCTACAAGACGTTGTACAGCCTCTTTCACCGCGCATTAGCATTCCTTTCTGCCATCGTTTCGCATTAATCGCGAGCTTGACGCTCCTGTACACGCAAATCATATCCGTGTCTCTTGGAGGAAGTAACTTCGTCACGACCCCGCATCAAAATTCAACCAACCATCGTGAAGGTCTTCCATACACGCCTTCTCATCTGTGCCACTACCGCATTCCACATACATTGGGCCGCGCAAACACTGCCCGTCAGCCTCCACAGGCTGCACATCTGTCCTTCGCTTCCTGTCACTCCTTCAACATTTGGTCCACCCATACGGTCATTACAGAAATCGAGCCTGTCCCGCGCTGGTGATTGGCTGTATCGTCAAGTCGCATACCACTGTACCTCTCACGACTATGAGCATGACTTGACCTATCCCAGGGGGTTCCTCCAACTAAGAGAACGAAGATGGAGTCGGACACCCGAGAACCTAGGCGAGGGACCGCTGGCCAAGGTCGGACAGTGAGTGGGGAAAAGAGTCCCGCAGGCTCCGTAAAACGTGCTCGGGAAAGAGCAGCAGCAGGCCTGCCGCCAGAGCGCCCCCAGATGCCGCCATATCCTACGCCGCTCTCTGTCAAGACCTCACCAAGAAGATCTCCACAACAGGGCACCAGCCCGACGGACCGTGCTCGATACCCACAATACCCAACCCACGGGAGTAGACAGGGCCAGAGCTTTTCGAGCAACGTACCTTTGGCCTCCAGCCGTCCTAGAAAAGGCCCTGCGAGTCCTGTGTCTCCACAAGAATACACACAAACCAGTTCAACACAGGAGCGGAACGTAGGTCGGGGTCCACCACCGCAGAGACCACCAAGACCAAATTTCGTGCCACCAATGCCTCAATCTTCTGGCTATAGAGATAACCAACCTCCACCACTTCAATATCGAAAACCTCAACCCCAAGAACAACCGCTGCGAAACTACTGGGAGGATAGTTACCTGGATTCTAGTAGCTCGAGTCGGCCACTCACAACCTCAACGACGTCAACGGGAACCGGTTCCTCCACCGGCAGCATTCCTGATTTCCCTTCTATACCGGCGATGCCATCAATGCTACCGATGCCTACTTACCAACCTCCTCCCAGGCGAAACCTCGGACCCCCGCCTTCGGCACGAAAAGGTGGCTCATCATATTACTCGCAGACGTCCTTTGTAACACCCATACAGGAAGAACTGTCGGATACCCATAGCTCGTACGCTTCAAGTACTGTCATGCCAGTGAGTTGGAGTGACGGTCCGCCTGAATATTACATGGGCGCCGGCATTGATGAAGAGGAGGAAGAAGATGCACCCGAAGGCAATAGCGGCCGTGGTTCGAGCGCAGGTGATCATGATGATGCGAGTGGCCTGGTGAGGAAAGGTGGAAATCCACGAATAACGTCTCTGGACACAGTGGAAAGTGGAGATGAATCGGACAGAGGGTCACGCGGCATGCAAGAGCTAGATTGGCAGGCTAGACAGGATGAACGGTGGCGGCCTGGTTTCGCCGGTACTGCTGATACAGACCCCATCGGACGACATAACTTCAGGGGCAATGCGAGGCTACACCCGTATTCTGGATATGAGAGCGATGCAACCTTTTTAGATTCGCCGACTGGCGAATCTCCTATGCCTCGAGCCCTCAAGACAAACAACTTGCCAACCAGCAATGCCTATTTTGGGACACCATCCTCGACAGGTTCGCCCGTCGATCCCACAGTAGACCAGATACTGGGTCACCTTGAAAAAGGTGGCGCTCTCGCTCCCAGCGGGACGGCTTCCCCCTCAACAGCGGCATCAATGACGGGGAAAGGGACCAAACGCCCACCAAACTTAAACCTGAAAGCTACAAAAGAAGGCAGAGACAGTGCAACGAGTCTTCCGGAGCTCATCAGGCGAGCAACAAAATTGGCCTCGAACCTTGATCGAGGCAAGACAGCAAGTCGACTAGGCATGCTGGATATGTTGAATGCGAAGGAGAAGGAGTCAAGAGAAAGGGCAGGCAAGGGCTCCCGCACTAGCTCGATATCAGACATCCTAGCAACGTTTCCATCACCGTCTCCTACAACGCCCACCGGCCAGCGACCTTCCGGTTGGCCAACCCCATCGCCACATGGCAAGTCCAATCTTTCGAGAGCTCAGACGGTCAATTATGGCTCCTCGACTGGTCACAGAAGTAAGAAGCGGAGATGCTGCGGCATGCCTGTTTGGGCTTTCATTCTTCTCTTGATCATACTACTGCTGCTCATCGCCGCTGCTGTCATAATTCCAATCACGCTGATTGTTCTTCCTCGCCAGCACAAGAATAATTCACCAACTCTTGACAGCTGTCAAACGAGTAATCCTTGCGGAAATGGCGGGACAAACATCCTCATCGACAAGACGTGCAGATGCGTCTGCGCTAATGGCTATGTAGGGCTCACGTGCAACACGCCCGGTGATAGCAGCTGTACAACCAGTGATGTCCCCGTTACCGGTACTACTGGGGCCTATAAGAATTCAACCCTCGGCAGCAGTATACCTCGTCTTCTCACGGCGGCAGAGTCCAACTATAGCATCCCAATCACCTCATATACACTTCTCTCCCTTTTCAGCGCCAGCAACCTCTCATGCTCTTCAGAGAACGCTCTCGTCACCTTCAACTCACAGTCACAGCGCAGAGATCTTGATCTTCCGCTCCTCTCTTCTGAATCTCATTTTCATCATCGTCCTAGAATTCTAGACTTGGAGGAGGTCGTTGCACTGCCTACAAGGACCCATCACCATCCCTCGCACATTCTCGAAGCCCGCGGTGCTGCTCAGACCTCCGAAAACATCGTCTTCGCCGCTCCCACTGGGGACGTTCCCCCAGCAGCAGCATCTTCGGTGCCGGCCTCCACTACCGACGAAAAAACGGTTACCTCAACTGTGCTAGACTTCGCTCGCACGGCCGTCCTCTTCATCTTTCAAGAGACCTCATCGCTTGACATCACCACTACCGCGTTGGACAAATTACATGCTACGTTATCCAACGGGAAAACTTTTGATGCGAGCGACACCAGCGCCGGTGGGAACATCACCGTGGATCTTTCGGCCTTGACCGTCGGCTTCGGGAACGGGACTCTATATGGAGGGAAAGGTACTGGAGCGAAGCGTTGAGGTGTCGAACCTCGACGCTTGACCCTTGTATTCTTACATTTCACAATTCGCTCCTACTTCATTCGTTTTTGAGCAACGGCGAACGGCGCATTTGGGTGGTCCCGACGGGCTGTATAGATTTAATGTCTGAATGTGGCGGAATAATTTGCGTTCAAAAGCATACTTCTTGGGTTGGCTTTTCTCGAATCGGATTGGCGGCTGTCCGAATACCTCCCTGTCGTTTGCCTTCTCTGTGAATATATTATATCATATCATAGCATTGTTGCTGACATCTACTCTTGAGCTACCTCTGCGGCTACTTTTACACTCTACATAGCGTTTCCTGCCGACGTTCTGTCCTCCAACTATATCTACGGATACTTTTATCTCGTCACAGCGCTCCTGCTGTTATCATCAACCCTGTTGATCTAGGCGTGCCTTACTACAAACTTTGCACATGAAACCACTTCTATTACATTGTACATAGGGTCTTCTACCGTTAGCCTTCAAACATCTCGCTCATCTTGAACTTGAATCTGAGATACGTTTCACCCGTTCCACCGCCTCGTGGCGCTCATAGCAATCACAGGCACCGTTACCCAGCCTTTTCAGCCAAAATAGACGTCCTTGCAACCATCTATCCTCTGCCTGCGAATTGGGCACATGCTAGTCTAATATTCCCTTCTGCAAGTCCACGGAGATCATGGCTTATCAACGACGAGGGAAGGTGCTACAATGTCTTGGGAACGGGATGATGATGGAGCAGTGAGGAGGAGATGGCACCGGGACTATTGCCGGCGGAATCGGTTGGATGAGACCGTACTAGAAGAGAGCGGGCGAAAGGATATGGAAGGAATAGGAACATGGGCGCTGAAAGGGACTTCGGCACGAGTCACGGAAGCACTGGTCCCAGATTTCAATTTGCTTGCTAAACAAAGGATCGGTAGTAGATCCAGCAACAAACCTAGCCACATGTCAGAAGAGCACTCGTCCTTTTTTCCGTCGTTTTAAGCTCGCTGCAAAACAAAAATATTTGGTGTGACAAAGACCAAGCCCTAGGGGTATGATTGACGGTGCCGAAATGCATGATGCTTGCTGCCGCTGACCCCTCCGCCATGGCTCTGCAGCGGTGCAATTTGATTCCGCCCACTGACCGTGGAGAAAAGAAGAAGAAGAGGAAGAAGAAGCAGATGAAGAGAACGCCGCTAATTTTCGTTGTTGGATGAAAGAGGATCCACCTCTTTGTTGTTGCCACCGTCGAACCTCGAACGGGAATAGTAATGTATGAATGATAAGAGGACGAATCCTGGTTAAAAGGCCAAGTTGTCTAGGATGAAGCCCTCCTAGAGGCCTCCGGTTCGCCAGCTTTTTCGTAAACACGCCCGGGTTGCCATATCTGAGGCTGAAAAGCTTGATTCGTGAAGTGCGCAGGGTCTTCTTTTTTGGATCTGTCCGGACTACAGCTGACGAACAAGAGTCATCTTCTGATTGCTTTGAGGAGGGGTTTTCGAAGGCTTGAACACTCACTCCTTCAAGACATCGCTCTGAATCTGCTCCCCTTGCGCTTTGAAACGTCTGTCATACTTCCGCTGTTGCTTTGTACGAGGCTTGAAATCTGCTTGAATTGGCAATTCTTTTGGGGCGGGCGAAATGGGCGAAGCTGTCGCGGCCTTTGGAGAATATTCCTCCTTCACGGCCGGGTCCACTGACGGATAGATTGGCGTTGCCGGTGTCGCCGTACGTGGTGTAGACGAGAAAGTCTCGGCCTTGCTCTGGTAAGACGGATAGAGGGGCGGTGTTGGAGTCATCGTACATGGTGCAGACGAGAAAGTTTCGACTTTGCTCTGATAAGGCTCGGTCGAGGTAGGGGTAAAAGGCATCTGAAACATGCTGGAGGAGAAGCCGGGAATGTCTGCTAGTATGTCCATGTCCCCAATATGGGAAAATTGCGCGTGGTTGGAGACCGCAATTTGTGGAGCAGACACGAGGCGTATCTCGGGATGAGACAGGGTGTGGCGCGACATCTCCGCGACGTCTTCAGTCTTGTACAACAGATCATAGTGCCCTCTACTACAGATTAGCACCCCCCATCAAGTGAGTCCACGTCCATGGAGAGACGCACGGTCTATATAAAAGGCGGATCGTAGGACCGCCCTTCTTCTCGTTACCATCAGCGTCAAGCACAGGCAATCGATGCGGCGTGACCTCTTCGCCGGCGCTGCGGTCAAGGTACAGAACTTCGATAGCCATGCCCGCTTCATTGATGATTGCAGTAGCGAGAGCTTGCAATCCGACATGGTCAAGTTCAATCGAGAAAGGCTCAATGTTTCTCGCACAATAAGTATGGACGTCCATGTCGGGTAAGAAGCCTGCGTAAGATTCTGCATTCGACTTCATCCACGCACTGGTGATGAGCTGAATCACGTTAGCAAAGCTAATTGGAGAGAGTCAATCTACAGTTTCAGATTTAGGACTACCTTGAATGAGTAGGTAAGCTGGCTGGAGGGCGCATCTTCGTTGAAGATAGCCAGTACTGCAGCGCCTCCATCATGATTCGGTAGAGTTGCAGCCTGCTGTTCCAACAAATCCGCTGTCGGCTCGATGAAGTCCTCATACAAGTCTGGGATTCCGACAGCGTGCATCAATGCCTCGAAAGCTCTGAACCTCGCTGCTTCTTCTAGCATCCTTGAAGCATCGCCAAGGCGGAGAAGAGTTTCGAAGTAGCCGAATGCAAGGGCTTGTGAAGCTCTTAGTCTGATGGCACCGAGGAGAGATTGCACGAGGGAGGAGGAACGTACCTCGCCACCCACAATTGCCGTCGCCCTTGAGCGTGCGGTAATGAGAATAAATCTGGGGAAGTGCCTAGTGAAGGTTCAGGCGGTTTGCTTGTGCATTCTATTCCTGGATGTCATGGGTGTATACCTTGGTTTTATTGACGTAGACTGGGTCTGCTTGTGCATATTCAGCGATTAGCGCGCTCGTCGACTGCTGCCGCCCAACTAAAGGTCCCTAGCCAGCTGGTCAGGATAGGTAGCAAACGGCGGTGGCTTCTGGTCATTACCGGAGCATCAGGGCGCCAGTCGTTCGACAATCTCTCCATGTCTGCCAAATCTTGCTCCGAAGCCATCATTTTTCAGCGCCAATACGATTTGTGAACTAAAGTGAAGCTTGCTCAAGAGCTCGGCGGCACTACTGGTCTCTTCGGAGACTCTTAAGTATATGATGGGAGTGGTGGGATGAACCATGAATAAAAGGTGATGATAGGTTGAGTCAAAGATGAGAGATGAGAGAGGCCGATAAAGGTAGGTAATGATATTTGGGGGGTTATACGCGGATACAAAGTACTTTTTGGGAGGACTATGCGATGCGATGCGATGCGATGCGATGCGATGCGATGACAAGATAAGATTAGATTAGGTGTGGAGGTTTCAATGGAATGTATGGGAAAAAGAAATGGAGACGAGTAGAGAAATGGAGGATGTCGGGAAGGGACTGAAGAGGAAGAATGTTGTTGTTGTTGTGGTGGTGGTGGTTATGGCCAGAGGTCAGAGTGAGAGACTGTGATTTTCCGCTTGATGGTCTAGCAAAAATGAAGCATCACCCCCACCCCACGTCTTTGTGCTGCAGCACTCGGCAACATTCAAAGGATAGTCGGGTCGGTCGATCCGGGGGGGGGGGGGGGAATTGTGGCTTTGAGATGGATAATATATTCTTTGGATTATGGTGGTGAATTATTGTGTATTCATACTGTCGCTATTGCAGGTGGCGGTGGAATGATGGGGGTCTGATGTTGACAGAGGCAGGATTATTGTTCAAGATTGTAGGAGTGCAGGCGAAGGTGTCTCGCTAGTAAAGTAGGTGGGTAGTAGTGGGTAGGTAAGTCTTGATTTTGAGAATTGAGATGAGTGGCTCGACTGGATGATAAGAAGAAATTAAAGAAACTAAGGTAAGGTAAGGTAAGGTAAAGTAGGCATGGTAGCACTGGTGGCACGACTAAAGTACCTTAGGTGCCTGAAGAAACTACCGTACACTACTTAACCACCATTGACTGATTACTTAAGAGTACATAATGTATGCATCTCTTAAAATACTCTACCTTACAACCCTATGCGATCACGTGCGTTATGCAATAAATAAGTTATGGTGCACCATTCAAAGCAAGAAAGAGAGAAAGAAAGAAAGAAAGAAAGACAAGAGACTGCTGTGCACCTTTTGATCTCGAGCACTTCTGCTGTCAAACAAGTCGATCCATCCATCCATCGTCATCGCGCTTTCATCACTTCAAGGAAGTCACTGGAGCAATATTGTACTGTAGGTATATGCCTCGGCCCCCCACACATTCTCGCGTGGAAGGGCAAAAACACACGATGAGGAAAGAATCAAAGATGGTATGCGTTCATCATATGCAACACAATTACCTCCGCGGCTCATTGCCGTGCCTGCGGAAAGTACTCGTAGATAGATAGATGCATGCACTGGCAAAGGTGTCACCCTTCTACCCTCTCGCCCTTTACATTATTCAATGCATGCTTGCTGATCATTGCTATCAAGTACTTGCTTGAAAATCTGCCAGGCAGCTGGACGCTCAATACCCTTTTTCGGCCACCCTGCCATCCTGCCATCCTGCCGCTGCCTCTGATCCCTGCCGTACGGATACACCCGCATCTGGTGCCACTAGCTAGATGATGCTGCAGAGGTACCAAGGCTACTGACCAGGTAGATATTCACCGCCGTGCAAGTAGCCGTGTCTCCCGTGCATCCGGGGCCTGCTGACAGCACATGCTCTGTGCATATCCGTTCCATGCGTCTCTTCGGCTTGCGTGGAGCATGTCCTGTCATTTCAGCATGCTAGATGCCCGCGCACTAAAGCCCACACCCTTCTTAGCCCCTCTTGCTTTGCCGAACCCAGCAGGTCCTTGCCCTCCGCCGCCGCCGCCACGGTTTCCCGTAGACAGTAAGCCAGCGATGGAAGGACCACCTAATGACTGAGAATTGTCTGTCTTGAAGCCGTCCCCTTCATCCAGAACAGTCCTAGAAAGCGCACCAATCGCAGATGTCCATTCTTGCAATGCGTGCGTCCGGTTAACATCACTGCGATTGTCCATCTCAACAGTGCCCTTCTCCTGGTTGATCTTGCCTTCGATCTTTTTATCGAGGATCAAGAAGCCCACAATGTCTTGCACCTCCGTGACGGATATATTTAGCCGCTTGGCAATAAAAGCTAGCGTGAAGCGCGTATAGGGAGCAATCAACTTGAGAACTCCGGTGGTCCGCAAGCTTCGAGTAACCTCATCAATATTCTCGGCAATGAATGGGTCTGCTAATACATCCTTGTTGTTCTGTAATATCGATTCGTATCTGTGGATGTCGTTCTGTTGATAAGCGTCGACCAAGTCAGTCATGGCGGATATGCGGGGATCGTTCTTGTACGGTTTTGTCTCTTGAGACTCGAAAGGATTAATGTCTGATTTCATGAGCATAGTCGTTAGTACCAGGTACTTCAGAACCTGGATTCTTTGTAGAGATCCAGCTTCGTCGTAATTTCGAAATGACTCGAAGAAGTCGGTCTGGGCTTCCTTCCAATTTTCTTCGCTCATGTGCATCTTTCCACCACACTCCCGGATGATACCCATGATCTTAGGATGGGGTACTGCGGATCGAACCTTCAGAGCTCGTTGATACAATGCCTGTGTGATTGGTGTCAGGAAGATTATCCGATCATTACAGGATAGTTTTGCTTACCTTTAAGCGTTTGTTGTTCCTCGTCTCTGCGTACATCTGGATCTCTAGAGCATAGATCTCCAAAGCATAGGTTCCTTTGCTTGGATCATCCGTTCCGTCTTCTTTCTGACAAGCACGATGCAGCTCCTTGACCAACTTGACCAAATGGGTGTATTCTCTTCGATCCAACCATAGCCGCGCTAGCTTGATGTTAGTCTTCAACCACAGTCTTTCGTTGTTCGTACTCTGGAAAGATTCTAAAGTTTGAGAATAGAATTTTTCCATGCAGTGGTATGCTTTCTCGTCTTCGGCACCCTTCTCGATGAAGTCTAGCATGTTGTTTATGGACTTTTCCGAGTAGTTGCGAGTGACAGCAGACTTGACGTAAGTTAGGAGCTCGGTGTAGTGCTCTATAGCCTGCATTCCAATGAGTACTAGGCTTCCATTCGATTATGGAGCCTCGTACCTTGTCATATTTGCCAAGCTTGTATTCTAGTTTGACAGCCTGCTTTAAACCCTTGAAGCCCCTTGGGTAGAAGTTGTCAGTATCTCTGGCGAAAAATCAAGGCCCTTTTTCGTTGGTACTGACCAATCTCCTTTTTCATCTTCCAGAGCCGGCATCCCCAGAAACTCTTGGATAGCTTCATCTGGATTGTCCGCCTTCATCTGTTTGGCATTGTAGTATTTGTTCTCGATACCGACATCTCCTGCTTCTTCTTCATCGTCATCTTCGTACTCAAAGTCGTATCTGCAGTTCATCAGCGGAAGACCGAGCAAGCTGAAATTGCATACCAACTCACTGCTCTTGATCAGAATCTTGCATAAAATCGTCGTCGTCCGACATGGTGTAGGTGGCTGAGGCTGTAAGCCTCTGCTGAAGTTAGGGTTGAACAAGCTAAGCGTTTGGAGAGCTTTCCAGGATTTTACCAATAAGTGTGAAGGTATTGAAGTGAGGGCGAATTAGCGTTGTAGTAGCAAGCTTCACAATCAATAAGATGGTAAGGCTTAGTTTCTTGGCATCAAATTGGCACTGACGAGAAATCGACCAACCTCCCTCACAGATTAGCCGACCACTAACTTATAACGCATATATCTACCAGATTTCTGTCTCGGTATTCTGCTATCAATCTTGTATCCCTGCGCTGACCTTCGCGGCTTTAATCTGAGAGAAATTAACCAAGATGGGAGGCGGAGACCTCAATCTGAAAAAGTCATGGCATCCCGTTCTGATGAGCAACCAGCGGCGGGTATGGGAGGAAGAAAAGAAGGCGCTCGACGAGCGCAAACGTATAGAGCAGATGATGAAGGAGCGTCAAGAGGAACGGAATATCCAGGAAATTCAAGATATGCAAGAGGCAGCAGGCGGTACCAAGAGAGCCCAGCGCGTGGAGTGGATGTACTCTGGGCCCTCGGCTGGCCAAACCGGAACCACCGAAGAGATGGAGGGGTATTTGTTAGGGAAGAGGAGGGTAGATGGGCTGATCAAGGGTACGGAGAACAAAAAGCTGGAGAAGGCGTCTACGGAGGATTCATTCATGGCTTTGCAGAACGCAAATACTGTCAGGGATACGGCTGCTAAGATACGGGAGGACCCTATGCTGGCGATCAAGCAGAGGGAGCAAGCTGCGTACGAGGCGTTGATGAACGATCCTGTGAGCCGAAGACGTCTGCTCAAAGAGGCCGGGCATGATGTCAAGCCCAAAGAAAAGGAGAGACGACGCAAGCACAGACACCACCATCGCAACGACAGAGATGATGCCCGTTACCTCAGCCCTAAACGTAGGCGGACAGGTGAGGAAGACAGGCGCAGTCGGAAGAGCCGAAGGTATGATGAGGAAGACAGACACCATCGGAGCAACTACCATGACCAACGTCGACGATCAGATTCTTCAATATACTCCAGATCTCCATCACCACCCCACCGCCGAAGATCACCCTCTCCGTACAGCCAGCGAAGGAGCAGGTCTCCCTCTCCTTACTGTCACCGCAGCTCTCGATCGCCGCCTCGCCAGCAAACCAACGGCCACCACCTCAATCACAGCAACAGCTTTCCCTCCAATCGCCCTCCGCCTCGTCACAATACTTATTCCCCAGAAGCACAACCCAAAGAGAAACCCAGAGATCAGGCTGTGGACAAGTCTGCAAGATTAGCCGCAATGCAGGCTGACGCCAACGATCTGGATGCTGTACGCTCCAACCGACTTGCCGCCATTGAGGAACGCGAACGCGTAGAGCGAGAAGCGGAACAGAAAGCGAGGGATCAATCGGGAAAATATGGTGGAAGAGGAGACTTCGTCAATGGGTTGAATCGCAGGGCTGGAGAGATGGATGTTGCTGAGAGAATTCAGAGAAACAGGGGTGGCCTGGAGAGGGGTCTTGACAGAGAATGAGTGCCAAGTCCGACTGATGGTGCGGCCCACAATTTTCGGTAAAGGCCTTCATTGCATGAAAATACCCACTTGAGCGACTGGCACTTTGCATAAGCCTAGAACAAATGAAGAGAGTAATCGAAAAGTATGTCCGCCTCAATCTTCCCCATCGTATCATTTGATCCGAATTTCTGCAAGGCTGATGATCGCGTCCTCCTGATTTCTTTCGGTTCATCAACAATCATTTCATCATCTCACATCGTACTGCACCGCAAGAGGTACCCAGCGTGACGTTTCACAAATTAAAAGCTCTCCACCTCCAGCATACTCAGCCAGTTCATCACCATCATAGCCTTGACCAGGTTACCTCTCAAATCAACGTGCCTGCATACACCCACCGAGTCAGCCCAGGATTGAATGACCCACTCCCAAAGCCAGCAGTCTCAACGCAAGCACCAGGGAACAACACTTACACCCCATCAAACTTGTTGCTCTGCACAGTCGCATTCCACGTTCCCAAATGTTCCAGCCCTCTTTTCCGAACCTCGATCCCGACAGACTCCTCAAAAATCATGGTTGCTTTGTTTCCCTGAGTGATAATCCACTCATCTGGCTTGTCTTTCCCCGGGGCGTTAGGCGTCAAAAACAGTCTTGGCCAGAAGCCGGTCTCCCGTTTCCGCCCATGGCTCGTCGAAGATCCCGACGAGGATAGGGATGATGAGGGAGACACCCAAGGAGCTTGGCTCAGCACTGTATCAAGGATCGTATCCAGCCAATCAAGGGTAGCCTGCAGGTCGAGATCATTCCACAGTCCATGGCCGAAGATGAATGCGTAGGGCCGAGACGGCTTGGTGGCGGGGAGGAGAGAGCGCAGGCGGTCTAGTTCTTCAGAAGCGATGGGGAAGCGAATCATCTGTTCGACTGCGGTTTTCAATCAGGAGTGAACCGCGAAAAAGGATTGAGATTATTCTTACTCATGACATCGATTGAATTGACGGGGCAGGCAATGCTATCTGGATCGTTTCTTACGACGTCGGCTGTCTTGAAAATCCCCTGGATGGAGCAGGCTTTGACATTGAATTGGTAGTTGCAGAAGCAGTCCTTCCTAGATGTCCCACGTCGTCAGCACGCTAGTAACCCTGCAGCTTGCAAAGTCCATGCTTGGGCCCAGGGCGATTACCTTTCTTCAGGTGAGAAGTTCCAGTCAGTTACAGCGCCGTAGCCAAGATCTTCCCTGATCATCACGTTGATACTCCCAATAACGTGGCGCATCATGCTGTCCCCAATGATGATGACCTTCTCAAATCGGGCCAAGATCTCACAGATCTCCTCCGTCGAAAACCAACGCATGTCACAGCCTCGAGGCATATAGGGCGCGTCATTGCCAATGCGACCTCCGGAAGACATCGCCGTTACCATGGACTCGCGGTCTGGACATAAGGGAGCGAATGGCGCATGGAGATCCAACGACGAGATGTTGCAGGTGTTGCGATACTTGTAGGATGAAAACGTGTCAATCGTGTCCGAGTAACGATGTGGTAGCGGTTCGGGAGGTTGAAAAGCGGCATGGGGGATGAAAGTAGCATTGTATGTTACTGGATGTGTCAGATAGTCTGGACGGCGTGACTGTAAAGACTTGTCATTTAGAAAGATCCGTTGACTTCATGCACGAGTACGTACTCGATGACGAGCATACGAGAAGAGCACACTGTGCAGGAAGAAGAGGATCAGCACCCCGACTGCCACCAGAGCTGTTCTTCTTCTTGTCAAGCTCCACATGCTTGTCTTGTACGTTGGCGACCATGTGTGTGGCCTGCCTGCAGGCGTTGTAGGGACCGACTCATATTTGTGGTTGTGGTGAAACATGGTCGTCTCTGCAAGAAGCTTCCAAGGCAGTCTCTCAATATACTTTGTGCACTTGAACTTCAATTCTCTGTTTACTCGGGAAGAGCCTCGATCTTCAAGTAAGCGCGGAGACTACCAATATTTAGACGCCGGAACACTCTTGACACCTTATGGAATCCTTGGTACTGGCAGGCTGGGACAGACTCTGACAGAAGACGCCAAAGATACGATGGTTCATGCACTTCGTGCTTATCCTACACGGAAGCTCAAGAGGAACACCTACATGTGACACATATGAAAAGCATCAGATTGTTTGTTAACACGCATAGACTTTGGTCAAGGCCTCCTACGCTCGAACGGAACTTCTTGAAGCAAAGATGTTTCTTTGTCCCCTAAAAACCTCGAGGGAACAATTAGACCTTCCTATAGCCGAAAGGACTGGAGCCCCAGGAAGCTCGAATCATGCAAAGCCAAAAGCCGACAGGCAACATGTTTTCCAAAGCGGTTTTCCTAGATGAGTTGGCCAAGGCACCAATTAAAGCCCAATCTGCTGCTTAAGAGTTGTGTAAAGTTTCTGGGAAAAGCAGTCATGGTGACCATACCATGCCGTACTTTAAAGCTGCAAACTTGTCTTTCAGCCAACCGGACCATCCTTTTAACTCCATAGCTCGATTCATAATCCCGACAAACCTACGCGAGAACGTTTCAGTGCCTTCGAACTCATCTTCAAGGTTTCGGAGTCAGTATTTCTTTGCTGTGGAGCAACGAAGTAGGGATATGTGGAGGGTTGCCTATGCTACATTACAAGGCTGATTGATTTCTTGTTATATTCTCGTCAAAAGCATCTGACTTTTGGGGCTCCCTGCCTCGTACAAGTTCATTGTCTGTGTCAATCTTTCTGGGTTTGTCCAACTGTTCACACTTCAACATGGCACCTTTGGTACACAAACAAATAACCATGGGGCCTTCTGATGTTTTCCGTGACATTCGTCATCCACTTTACTTCACACCTTGATCATGACTACAATTAGACAAAATCAAAACTTGCAGAGCATGTCATGCCTTTTAGAAGACACCCGGTCCTCCACTGACTAGCCGAATGACGTTTGTATACTTCTGCTTTGCGACAACATAAGCCCACACCGCCACGCGGATGAGCAAGTGATAGAACACTTGATCTGGGAGTCTGAGGTATACAATCATTTCAGGGCTGACTCAACATCAATCGAGGACTTCCGCGAGCCCTTCGCGTTTTGCGATACCACTCAAAGATAACCCTCGGGCTTTTCAAATTCCACGCTCCCACTTGCAGCAGCCTACACGAGCAGTATGATGGACGCTCGTTGGACGGATACCAATGATATTCGTGCAGCCCTGCCAGCTATCGCAGACTCAAGCAGCCGCCCAGTGTCTCGTACAGCATTGACCGCGTTCGTAAGGGGAACTACCGAGCTCGAACCTGCTGTCGACGCTTTCACTCTCATGCCACACATCGAATCCAGCGAGGAGAAGCAGATTGACGAAGTCACTGGCGGTGTGGAGGTTGCGGCTGTGACCTCAAGATTGGAGGGTCGGGATATTCAAGGGGAAGAGTACCCGACTACTCAGGCAAGGCCTGGTGAAGGGCCAGAATCTCATTACATGAAGCCGCAGGCTGGCGATCGATCGCGCTTCAGGCCGTGGGGATACATCTGAACGACGAATTATACAATGACGACGGCAGTGCGAATTGGGACAGGAAGTTAGGTATCGGAGCTGTGTTGCATAGCTAGCCACAACTTTAAACGCAATCAGGGCGCTAACTCCTATCACGGGTCGCATGGTCTTATAGCGTTGCGACAATTCCCTTAATATTCGTTGAATGGTGACAGGTGCGTCACACCTATTTGGAGTTCTAATTTGCCATGCGCGCAAGGGGGCTTTATGAGGCTCCATGAGGCTCCATCATGCAATTCAAAGGGGTAGGCGATGGTTCTTTGCATTCCGTGTTCATCCTGTGAAGCCTCACCTTCACAACATGTACCACTCCTTCACGTCCAGAGCATAATGACGGCCTTTGGGAAAGGATATTCTGCTACTTTACGTGAAAGCGGGTTGTGGTCGTTGTCTCCCCCACCAACCCTGCTAGCATCTTACATGTCAAACCCCCACATCGGAGCGGAGCTACCTTATGTACCTCAATCACATGATATATAAAGTACCAATGTACATAACCGAGGCTGCAGATTGTGGGGTAGGAGTGGAAACTTTGGAAAGGGGAAAATTCAAGCAGTTGATAGGTACGTAGGGTTTTTCGACAGGTTATCAATTGCAAATTTGCTCATCTTACCCAAAGCTGACAAGCAAGAGTAAGGTAGTGGAGATGAGTGTATTCAGTACGAAGAGTAACGCAGTCAAGTCATTTGGGGTTAACAGTACCTACATAAGGTAATTACTTAGAGACTTAAAGTTACCTTAGTGCATCTGCCGGCTCCGACTGGATCAATCCCTCTTTAAAAGTAGCGTGTGGAGATTCCTTGCAGATGCTTGGCATCGCCAAGAATTTGAAAGTCTCCGGTGACGGTGATCAAGCGTAATCTACTTGAAAGTATGAAGAAATGAGAGTCTGTAGACCATGATCCTTCCACCGTCTGTATTTTGATTATCACTTGATCAAGTTTCACAATTCCGACCGTATTAGAATCGCAATACTCGGAATATTTGATGTCTACGTACACTGATCCTTGAAACGTACAGCCAGCATTCATCATTGCCTTACAAAGTTGTTATACATGTGGTATGGGGGACGACAGTGTGGCGATGCCAAGCACTCGCCAGAATTCTTCACACGCTAACTCTTCCACCCGAGGGCCCCTGCGTCGTCCCGAAAATCCCCAGTCCAAACATAATTTCTATAGTTATTGTGCATTATTGCATGAGGAAGCTGTTATCCCTCTCTTCTGCACCCTACCATATTTTTTACTAACGGATACTTACACTCAATCCTTCTTGTTTCATGCCCTGGGGCAATGCTTTGTAGATTGTAATGACTTGCCGCTTTCAACTACTACAGAAGCATCCACTTAAAATGCTCACTCCCATGCGCACCGGCCATCTTCTACGGGGTTTCCAGCATTGGCAGTCGCGCTTGGTCAAGCTGTCCTTTTCTCTCCTTCCTCTTTCTTATATCCCTCGAAGTTCCTTCTTCAACAATGCTCTCAAATTTGCTCACTCGTTTTGCATTCCGACGTCGTTTTCATGACTACCCTTGCTCCTTGACATCCTCCACTTCTCCCTCGAGAAGCATTCCTACACCTGTCATGATTATATAGCACAATCACACAGTGATGAAGAGGCTATTGCCTTGGGAGGCAGTTCCTGCATCTACTGGCCAGAGAAATGTTCTCTGGGCCGAAGTACGTTCACTCGAACATCGACCGTCCTCGAGAGACACCCTAGACTAATACAGCGCTAGGGTCTTCGCGGCATTGCATCTCTGCTCGTTGTTACGAGGTACGTCCTTTTGCGGCTCGGATTTCTTGTCCCAGTAGGATTTGAGCCTTCAGAAAGACTTCAACGTTCGAACCATCGTCTTCTTTAGGCAATGCTGACTCCGAAATCCTTGATAGCCACTTGTCTCGATCGTTTGCCTACACCCTTATTACCCCAGCTCAAGACAGCACCCATACGGGCTCCTTCATCCACCTGCCTTTACTACGTCTACCTGCCCAAGGGGCGCCATGGGTTTCCCTCTTCTTTGTCTTGACAGGCTACGTCAACGCTATGAAGCCGATTAAGCAAGCACGGAACGGCAATGGTAGCCAAGCTCTCTCGGGCCTGGCTTTCAGCGCGTTTAGGAGGACCGGCAGACTCGTTTTACCCGCAACAATTGCTACTATAATAAGCTGGGTGATATGTCAGTTGGGACTGTTCGAAATTGGCAGGACGTGTGAAGCTGTCTGGATTCGAGACACAAGCCCTAAGCCCGGACCCGGTGTTACGGGCTCCATCCGTCTTCTTCTCGCAAACCTTTTCACCACTTGGACCACTGGGTTCAACGTTTACGACAAAAACCAATGGACCTTCCCCTTTCTACTCAAGGGGTCGATGCTCATTTTTATTACCTTGCTCGCTACAGTCCGTATACACTCGAACTATCGCATACTAGTATTCCTAGGCCTTTATGCATTCAATTGGGCGGGAGGAGATCGTAAGCGAAATTATTCCTCTTCAATTCACAGTAAGATTGAGGATCCCCTCAAACGCTAACACAAGCCCTTCAACGTAGCAATGCTCGGGATGAACATCTATTTCGGAGCTCTCCTTGCCGAACTTTCAAACCGACTCCCCCCTCCCTCTATGACGCCCCAGCGAAATCCGTTCATACGAGCAATGACTGGGGTTGCACTCCTCCTAGGCCTTCACGTATCGGGTTATCCGGAGGTGTCTCCCGAATGGACTTCTTGGTCCCAGAATTTGGCCCAGATTGGGCAATTCATCTTTCCCGGGAAGGACTACTGGCGTTACTGGACCTCCATCGGGGCCCAACTTATCACTCTCGCCGTCGTAATATCTCCCCGAATGCAAGACATGTTATCACATCCCGCCTTTGTATGGTTAGGGAGTGTCAGTTTACCACTTTATCTGATCCACGGTCCCTTGGTCCGTAGCTTGCTTGCGTGGATGCTTTTCGGCTGGCAGAAGCCGGTCTCTTATTACAGCCAGGATGTCAACGGGAATTTAACAGATCCTTTCCAACGAAGATCGTTCCCGGATGGCTGGGTCTTTTGCATTGTGTTGCCGGTATTTTTTCTTATCTTGCTTTGGGCTTCGCATCTGTGGACTACCTGGGTTGAACCATGGTGCGCATCCATGACCAACCGCATAGAGGTCATGTGTGGGACCGAGACAGGAGAAAAAGGGGATTTGCGAAGGACCAATGGGTGTCACGGGGATAAGGGGGAGCGAGTAACGGAAGTTTGAATCAAGTAGGAAGTAATGATCTGGGTATACCATCGAAAAAGCGATAAAGGGAAAGGTGGTTAGACATCAGGCATTATATTGTACGATGCTAGTAACAATACAACGACATTTGATGAGATCTGTTGCACCAGGATAATCGACTAGACCTTTAAAAAATGTAGTTATGCGTCGGTTAATGAGCTTTGGCTCATCTCGCAGGTACTGGTAATACGCTATTGGACCGTCAGATTAAAGGGGAGCGTCGCGTTTGCAGGAAATGCTACAGGTTTGATGCCTGCAATTCAATGGGACTCATCCTTTGCAGAACCGTAAAGCAAGTTTGATCCGTTCAACTGGTTTTACATTTCTGTCGCCCACCCTCTAAGCATACCGCGTCTCCCCCATCTCCCCTCCTTCACAACATCCTCTCCTGACACCACCAACACTCATCCCCTCAGCGCTTGTCCGCCGGCTTCTGCGTCTTAGAGTTCGGGTTTCGCGGATCGTTCTTGAATTGCTCGGCTATGCGCGAAGAGTGCTTGTCAGTCTCGCCGCCCTTTGTAGCGAACGCTTGGAGGTCGTTGCGGACGTACTCTGAGCAAGAGCGTTTGCCGCTGAGTTGATCCCATACATCATAATCAGCCCTGCGTGCGGCAATCAATCAGCCTTCTCCTTGGACTCGGAGTGGAAGACTGTGCGGATGCGGGGTGTGGCAGCGACACCGGCTCGTGCCGGAAGAATTGCAGCATGGACTCTTGGATCCCGGCTAGAGGTGAGGTCGGCGACGTACCGGCGATGAAGAAAGGTGCCATTGGTTGCGCTGCAGACGTGGGTCAGCTCTCGAGAACGATGACGGAGTACTTTTGCTTCCGGAGGGCGGATGGGAGGATTTCGTACCAAAGAGGCCGTTGAATTTCTTGCCGAGCAGCGACATCTTTGCGGGATCTTTGTAGTAACGGAGGTGGGAGTTCGATCGATGGTGGACGTTGTAGTGGTAGAGTCGAGATGTGAAGTTTGCTGTTGAGGTTTGACCTCACAAAGATCCAACGCCGCTTTTAAGCGCGGTGCGCTCTTGTTCCGCGCCAACCTCCGTTGCTGTTCACTCCAAGTAAACAAGGCACCCAGCGGCGCTCGAGCGCTGCCAGAAGGTCTCTACAAGATGGCAAATCCGCTAACATCTTGCGTCTCGTCCCTGCGCTCGACCAATGCCCTTCTATCCTCCAGCATATCAATCCTCGACTCCGGGGTCAATGACTTCCCACGCCTAGCGAAGGTGCTGCAGACAACGCGCGTATGTTCGCACCTTTCTGTCTGTTCAATTGTTACCTCTTGATCCGCATCGATCTTCACGGTGGTCTTCCTAGATGGCACGACGTACTGTGCTAACATCACCCAGCACTTCGAACTCCTCCCCGAACCCACCCTCCAATCCGCCCAATCCTCCCTCCTCGCCTCCCTAACCCCCGAAGTCGCCTCGCTTCTTTCCAGAGTCGAATCCCATCTGGATAAGCTTGCCCGCCGCGAACAAGCTCTAATAGCACGCTGCGAACTACTGGAGGGTCGAATAGGCGAAGGACGCGCATCTATGGGAGGCGCGAGGGGGAGTGGCGCGGGAGAGAGAAGCAGTGTGGGTATCAATGGGGACGGGAGTAGAGAGGCGTTGAGATTGAAACAGTTGAGGGGGAAGAAGGAGAGGTTGGGGTATGCGGTTGAGAGATTGGTTTTGCAGGCTCAGCAGCGGGAGAGGCAGCTGAGGATGAGTGTTGCTGCTCAATGACCGAGAAGAATGACTACGAAGCCATGCGGATTCCTACGTCTGCCGAGCGGGATGAGATGCGTATACCCATTGTTGCTTTGAATTGGAACCCTCCGAAACTGCGACTTCTGCTGTCAATCGTGTGGATGTGCATCGTAGCCATGAAAGGATGGGTCATCAGGCTGCATTGGAACGTGCAAGCTAGGACTGGAGAGACAGCCCAGAGAGATGTACGCCGGTAACACGAAACCATGAAGCCTAAAAGCGTTGAACACTATAGGGTCTCGGTCAAAGGCAATGTTGCTTTCAATCTGCGTCTCTCGCGAATGTGCTCCTTGAGATGGAAGAGGCTCAGGGGCAATTTTTCGCTGGTAAGAGATGGGTAGGTATCCCACTGTGGTTCTGGATATGTATGACTCGTAGTCTACGATATCATAGTTGGTATTCTGAGCACTCGCTCTTGGGCTTTCTATGAAATAGTGATTGGATCATATCCCTGTGGTTTTGGAAAAGAATCTGTTCAGAGTTCCGTGGTTGTTTGTGTGCGAATGGGGTTAGTCATCTTGTTTGATGGTTTAGACTCACATCTCTTATTTACAGTGACGTTGTGCAGCGAGTATGCAGATCCACGCTGCCCAGAGTTCACCTCTTTCCCTTCCTCGACACAACACCTCTCAACCCCATCAACCCCAACCAAACTGCCTCTTCCGTTCGAATCGTCCTGCTACCTTGTCCTGGACACAGATTCACCCAGTGATCAAACAATGCTTCGGGACTTTTCACTCCCAAATTCTCCAACTCCTTGTCTGCCTTTACCGCAACTTCCAATCCACCAACGCCTCCGAAAACAATCAACATGTGCGCAAACTCTGGAATGGGTTGGCTCTTTGGCGTTTTTGTACTATCAAGACTAGATACAGGGACGCCTCGCTCTGACGTCCCAATTGTTAGATCGTAGCCGCCATCGAATGGGCACTCGGTGAGAACAGCAGATATACAGGACGCTGAGCGAACACTGTAGCCCCAGTAATAGCCAGCCTCTTCTCGCGGAGCAGAAGGAGCGACAGCTTCGGCCAGTAATTCATTACCTGGGATTTCTTCGGGCTTCTCTTCATCTTTGAATTTGACAGTCACGCGCGTTTCTGGTGCTATGACAGCTGAGATAAAGACTCGTGTACGAAGGCCAGTCTCGATGTAGGTATGACCAGGCGGCGTCCTCCATATTTTCCTTTCTTGCCTATTGGGTATTTCCCGTTTGGTAACGCCTTCACGGTATTGGCACCAATCGTGCATGCGGACGTGATGGGGCATGTCTAGACTTGGCAGGGATCCCGCCAGTCGAAAGTCTGGATGAAGAGGAAACAGGTCTTTTCGTAGATTTGGAGGTGTCTCAAGATATGACAAAATGTGCGCCAAGAAGAAGTTTGGATCTGTGTAGCCGCTATACGAGTTGTGCTCTTTTCCAATTTTTTGAGTACTTGAGAATGTAGTATGAGTCTCAGCATCCTGCGTTAGTTGACCATCGTCAAACACCACTACTTCATCGACGCAGAAGACGGCAAGGGCACGGGCAATTTGACCTGCTAAGAGCGTTTGGAGTTCGGGCGTTTGTGCACTGTAATGAACTCATGAGTGGCTGCGCAGGGTGGGTTGAAGAAGACTCAATGACTTTGCAATGATGCTCCCAGGCAGCGCAATGCTCAGTGTGTACTTTCGCCCTTCCTTGGCTTCGAAGACAGCGGTGGGCTTCGAGGTATCTACTTCATTCTCTGTGAGCTGGTCGGAACCACGCTTGCGCTTCTACCAAATCATTAGCTGGGCTCGGAGGTAATTGCATGGAAAGGACCTGCACCTTGGATTCCATGGGAAATGGGGGTATGATCCAAAGCTGTATGTTGGTAAATAGGTATTCGTATTTTCAAACTTTGAATTGCGCGAAAAATTTCACCAGTGCTACCCTGCGCCAACCTCAGGTGCTAGCGTGGCACATTGTTGACTTCAAACCAAGCATCACTTGATTGTACACGTCCAATCGAAATGTCTACGCCAGCGCGACCTTACCTCTCTAATGGCCAAGTGCTGCAAAGGTAAGCTCACCCAGACTCATAACCAGGAGTACTCGCTAAGCAATAACAGCCCCCCCTTGTCCGCTCGTATTCGCAACTTTGTTGATGATTCGTACGCCTTCTTAGGTCTTTACGTGACTACCTTATTCTCTGTGCGTTCATATATCCATGTGTATATTGGAATATATAAGTCTGATGGATAGCAAAGCTTGACGCCTATGCCGCTGCCGAGCAATCGCCCTTCAGTATTACAAATAGAAACCGGTCAGCTGCCGGTGTGAGAGCTGGACCAAGATCCGGCGGTAGTGGAGGTGGGGGAGGCGGAGGTGGAAATGGTGGTAGTGGGGGTGGGGGAGGCAGGAAAGTGGGAACCGTGGACGATATACGGGGCCCAGAGTGCAAGAGCTGTGGTTGAAATGTTGGAAATGCCTAACATTTCGGCTGTTTCAGGCGTTGGAAGAATGGCGTTATGTTTATGATATTTGCAACGGGAGTCTGATTGAAACTCGCATTGTTTGCGTAGACAAGCAGCCTGGTCGACTATAGCGACATTACAACAGCTGTTTCTTATGCTAGAAATTGCTCCTCCCCCCTCTTGAGCGACCTCCATACCTTGAGTTACTCTTGCTAATACCTAGATCAACCGCTGTTGTGCAAATGGTAGGCTACAATCTGCACCAAAAATCTACCGCAGAACGCAGAAATGCTGAACTTGTAGCAGATTTCACCATGCAGCTCCTGGCTGTTCTGAACGCCCTTATTCCATCCTTAAGTATGTCGAAGATGGCCAGCATTCGGTCCCGCCTTCGGATTTCAAGCCACTGATCTGTTGATCGCTTTTGTCATGATTCTAGTTCATCGCTGGATCCATCTTTTCATGTTCGAGCATAATCCTCTTCGGAAGTAGGATGGATGCACGATAACGCCGAGGTTTTGGCGTCTGAAACACAAGGGGAACCGTTCGCGATCACATGAGAGTTATGGCAACTTCAACGAAGCTAGCTTTCCTCACCCGTGACTCTGGTAACTCTTCCTCCTCCTCTTCTACTTCCACAGTCGCAGCCCCTTTGGGAATCGCTGACTCCACTATATCATCGACAACACCAACCGTGCCAGTCCTCAACCGCACTCTGCAATCATCTTGGCCCTGGAAGAATAACGCTAAGCCTAGCACATTCTGAATGGCCCTATTTGTAGCCTTCAAGACTACTTCCTCTGGTTCTTTGCCTGTTGAAGCATTGGTTCTTTCACCAAGCTTTCTGAGCTTTTGTTTGTCACTGCCTCTGCCTTCCACTAGGTCTACCTTGCCCATAGACCGTTTGTCAATCTCACCAAGCAGCTTGCGAACCCGTTTGACGGCTGATATGAACGGCATTTTGGTTGAGACGTAGATGACCTTCTTTTGGTCAGCACCGGTATAGGGAGAAGGTATCGGTGGACGGAAAATAGGCCGCTTTTCGATTCGCGCATCTAGATGTCTCTGAGTCTAGGATTCCAGTCCACAACATAGGTCGACCTACTCTTCGGTAAACGAGGCATTTTTTGGGCATTGCTTTTATCTTTGTCCCTAGGTTTGGTAGCTAGTTTTGGTGCCATGATAGCGTTCTATGATTGTAAAAAGCACCACAAGACATTGCGGAGCAAGATCCGATAGAACCCAGTGCTTCTTCGGGAGCGCTTGGCGCCTTTCTACCCGGCCGGCCGGCCGTCCGCTCCTTTACTTTATTCTGCTGCAAGCCTGCAAGGCCCAAGCTCCACATCACGCCCGCAGCATCCTTGGCTTGATGAGGCTACGGCACGTTCACTTACCTGGTCTGACACCTTACCTACGGGCATCAGCTATACAAGAGCACCTCGTTCGCCTTCATTTAGATCACAAAGCCTCTCAATCAACGGCTCCAGCTCCCGGTCCCGTCCTCCTTACCTTCCAGACCCCTCCAACATACACCTGCGGCCGGCGAGAAGTTGGCGCGCTTTCACACGAGCAAAAAGCCTACCTCAGGGCTCACAGGAAAGCTGAATTCCATGAAGCACTCCGTGGCGGGCAAACTACCTTCCATGGCCCAGGACAAGTGACGGCTTACCTCATTCTCTCGCTTCGAGAGCATAATCTAAACGCCAGAACTCATGTTCGGCTCCTCGAAGACTCAGTAATAGGTACGTGCGAACGGTATTGGCTTGAGGCCCGTACGACCGAAAACCCTGGGGTATGGATTGGACCTAGCTCGAATGAACGCAAGCTCGCGAGTGTAGGAGTACATCTGAGACGGCACATTGCAAGTCATGGGGTCGGGTTGAACGTCACTGTAAAGCTCTGGTGGTTTGATAGGATTGTGGCTTGCGGACTACCAGAGAAAAAGGCCACGTCAATTGAGAAGGAATATCAGAACATAGAGCCGGACAAGGGACCAAATGCGAGAGCACTTGGTCCCCCCAGGGTGCCTGGAAAATGTCGGCCCGTCCTCCAGTTCTACGACAATCCTAGAGTGATGCGGCAAGTGGCTGACGGTCTCGCGAATCAAGTGGCATCACGTTTGTCGGGCGTTGATGGCAGTGTAGAGAATGTTACTGAAAAGAGCATAAGGCCGGGAGAAGTCCACTACCCATAGCCGGAGGATTGAACGCATGGCTTAATTATGCTTGTGAATTTGACAAGCGAGAAGCCTTTCAGCCAATTCCCATCATGGTCCATTCATGAGTGCTATTAGCTTGAAGAGGCTCAGATCGGAGTAGATAGCTGGAGCTCGCAAGCTATTGATCGACCTCGTACTCATCTCATATGAACCAGGTCTCACCTTTCCACCGATGGACATCCTCACAGTGTCTAAGGATCAAGGAGACCTTAATCGAGCGATAGGAATAGCCATGTACACAAATATACACAGGCTGTATACACCGGCATTACTTGACTTCCTACTGTTGTGCTGTAGAAGCCGAGCTAGGCTGAATCATATGGTGAACGTACTAAAAGCGGCGCATCAATAGATATCCTCAAGCATTTGTGTAGATATTCTCAGTAGAAGACGGGAATCAATTGTTTGGACCTCGGGACCCAGATCCAAACCTTAAAAGAACCCGGGTCCAAGATTTCACGCTAGGCTGGTGAGGGATCGCAATGTCAATTCGTCACTCAGAACTGTGTTCAAGAGCCTACTTGAACCAGCGTCCGCATCACACTCTTTTGTTACATAGCTTTGGTATCACATCCCCTACATAAGTGAATGTCCGCGACCCATTCAAGATTGCAAAGAAAGATCCTAGCTACCTGAGTGCCGTCCCGCAATCCTTCACCCGCCATGCCTCTCTGCGGAGGAGGCAAGACGGTTCATCGCAAGCTTGTCCTATTGTACGGTCTTACCACCTTCCATTACTGCCAGTTGACTTACAGACAATCAAAATAGAGGTGACGGTGCTTGCGGCAAGACTTCACTGCTCAACGTATTTACCAGAGGGTACGTCTTATCTTCTAGGACCCAGCGGAGCTTATCTGATGCGCCTTGCGCCATCGCAGGTACTTTCCTACAGTATACGAGCCCACCGTCTTCGAAAACTACGTCCACGACATCTTCGTCGATAATGTCCACATCGAGCTCTCCCTCTGGGATACCGCGGGCCAAGAAGAATTCGACCGCCTGCGCTCCCTTTCTTATGACGACACCCACACTATCATGCTCTGCTTCAGCGTCGATTCCAAAGATTCGCTCGAGAACGTCGAATCGAAATGGGTGGGCGAGATTGCGGAGAACTGCCAGGGTGTGAAGCTCGTGCTTGTGGCGCTAAAGTGCGATTTGAGGGAGAGGGGCGGCGATGAGGAGGAGGAAACGGGAGCGAGGCCAGGAGGGGAGAAGGTCATGATTGACTATAAGCAGGGTTTAGAAGTTGCAAAGAGGATCCAGGCGCTGCGATATCTGGGTACGTCACGTTCCCGTAGTGTCTGCTTCGCAATGGGAGGGAACGAGCTAACACCTATTGCTGGCGCAGAGTGCTCAGCAAAACGAAACCGGGGCGTGAACGAAGCATTCACAGAAGCAGCGAGAGTCGCGCTCTCAGTCAAGGGCGCCGGCACGTCTAGTGGAGGGAGCAAGTGCTCAGTGATGTGAGCTGTACATGACGCGAGCCATTCCTTTCCCTGTGCATGCTGAGTATTCGCCTTTACGAGGACCCACTTCCACGCCTATCTATTTGGGCGTTACGGAAGTCCGTTCGCTGTATTCACGAGCCTGGAGATGCTGAAAGGGAGTCTCTGTTGGCTAGCAACGGCGTTTCAATCGTTCGTTCTACTTTGTAACATACTCGCCCTGGTCATCATAACAACCTTCCCTGCAGACTGTGCGCTGCATCCTCGGTCCGCTCTCTAGCTTTGTGACCGATGCTTGCTCGAGGTCAGAAGAGAGCGGAAAGACATCGGCGGGGTTCGAACACTTTAAGCCACGGATGTAAGAGGCGAAGACTTGGACCTCGTTCGCACTGTTAGCTGCCTTCTTCGCTCCGTGAGGTCAAACATCTTCGAATTAAAGGGCCAGGAAATGCAACAGGTGTCCTCTCCGTTAGTGCAGGACAGACCAGCCGAGATCGCTGAACGTCAAAGTACTAAGCTCATACATCTCATCTCTATAGTCTATATTGGATTAATTTTTCATCTCCAAAAGAAATTACTCAACGTGATGGAGTCAAGACCCAGCTGCAAGCACTCTCTCCCAACTTTAAAAGATCAAGTACAGCACATCTGCGAGGCTGTTCCCATTCAATCTCATGGGCGCCCGAGTCTGCACCTTCTCTTTCGCATTCCATGCAATGCCTAAGCCCGCGGTCCCAAGCATGAGCAGATCGTTGGACCCGTCTCCCACAGCCAGCGTTTCAGACAACGGGATCGCATGATCAGCTGCAAGAGATCTCAAGGTCTCTCTTTTCAGCTCGGGCGTAACGACTGGATAATTGGAATCCAGCAAACCTGAAAGATGCGGATACGGGAAGTCCGCTGTCGGGCCCTCTTCCAACAAATGGTTCGCAACGGCGACATCAAGCCCCAGCTCGCCTTTCAGCCACTCGGCCATTGGGATGAAACCTCCGCTCACAACACCGGTCAGCACTCCCTTCTTTTTCAGACCACTGACGAGCTCTCTTGCCCCTGTCGCAATCGTGACCGTCTTCTTCAGGTCCTCCCATACATTCGTACGCACACCCTTTAGCATGGCTACACGTTCTGAGAGGGAGGTTGCGAAGTCAATGTCCCCGTTCATGGCACGGGCTGTGATGGCCGAGACTGCATCGCTGATGCCAATTGATCGGGCAAGCTCGTCGATTACTTCTTCGTTGATGAGGGTGGAGTCCATGTCGAAAAGAGCGAGCAGCAAGGGCCGCTGCTGATGCCCAGAAGCATTTGGATGAACGTCAAAGATGATCTCGAGACCATGTCTCCTTTCAAAATCTTGGATTGGAGCATCATGCCGGATATTCGAAAAGTCCGGTAGGTCTTGGTAGAGTCCTGTGTAGGTGGATTGAGTAATATGGGAGGTTAGATGCTGGGTTGATTTATAGTCAAGTTGGGGCACAAGCTGGGCGAGCAGAGATGTAAAGGTACCAACATAGGAGGGCAAAGATGGTCTCGTAGCTTTGGTCTCATATTGGTCCCTATCTCCGCTACTAGCTGTAGCCTGTACATTCAGATTTGGGGGAGTGAGCCTCGACTTGGGAAAAAAGGTCGCGATGAGAGCAACTTTTCGTGTCTGTTCAAGCGACATGCCATTTTCTTCATGCTTTGGGTCCTCCCTAGCGACTTCGGTAAGAGGTGCTGGAGCGAGCATCGGTGATCGATGAAGTGAAAGTCGCTCGAGCCTCTCGTCGTCCGTGAGCAAGGATTTCGGGTGTGATCTTATCGATAAGGGCATGGAACCTTAGCTCGGAAATTATTCAAACTTCCTTGAGCTTCGACTTCGAGTTGATAGGCTCATGGGCTTCGAATTTCCTCCTCTGATCACGTTCACTCGTCCCTCTTTCTGCAATGCTCACAGAAAGCTTCATGGCATCGACGCTTAATCCTGAGAAGCCAAGCAACAGCGTTATTCCTGGCGTACACCTCTATGATTTCCAGCCTCTACCAGCTCTGAAGTCGACCTTCAAGAAAAGTTCAACCAACACCAATTCTCTAGCAGTCAGCCCATCTCATGTCTTTGCCGCACAAGAAGATAAAGCAGTTATTCATGTCTACAGCAGGGAGCGAAATAATCAAGAGGCAGTAGTACCCTTTCCAGAGAAGATTCAAAGCGTTGTTCTTGCTGCAGAATCAGAGGGAGCCGGAACGCTCATCCTGGGTACTGAGGGTGGAAGGGTGGTACTATGGGAGGTGTGTCTATCCTACCGAAATGATATCCTCCTCCTAGTAATGCTGATCATTTAAAGTAGCTGGGAACTGGCAGACAAGTATCTACACCACAACATCACCTCCAATCAACAACATGCCTTGCGGTCGATCCAACCTCCAATTTCTTTCTGTCGGGCTCTACAGATTCAACCATACATGTCTGGTCTATCCCAGGTCTGCTCTCATTCTCAGCCTCATCAGCTAATGACAACGGCCATGATCTGCCGTTCTCTCCTTTCAGATCACTTTCGAACCACCGCGCTGCAATAACTGCCATTTTATTCGGCCACAGCTCTAGTAACAAGAACATTGCCGTGTCAGCTTCGAAGGACAAAACATGCATAGTCTGGAACTATCTAAATGGAGATGCTCTGCATACCTTCCTGCTTCCCTCAAGTCCACTCTGTTTGGCTTTAGACCCTGCAGATCGTGCAGTTTACGCCGGTTACGAAGATGGCAGTGTACAGCTCATAGACTTCTACAGTCAGGGTGGACTAACACAGCCATTGCATAACCCTGCTCTGCAGTCTACACCAACCCAGCCCCGACCGTCGGGCAGGTGGTCAGCTCCGCACCATTCAGCATCCCCACTTCTCTGCCTTCAGGTCAGCTATGATGGCACAAGTCTACTTTCCGGTCATCAAGACGGCAAGATTCATAATTGGGACGTAGCCGCAGGCAAGTACGACAAAAGAGTGGCTGACTTCGCTGCCCCCGTTACGAATATAATTATGCTAAAACCGATTGGCTTTCCCGACGTAACCGAGCCAGCTGTGAAACTTCATAATGTTGTCAAGCCGCGATATGAAAGTTTTGTCAATGGCGATCACGGCGTTTCTGACGCTATTATACCCACCAAGTACACCTTTATAGCTCAATTCACATCGACTCTTCCTCTCCCATTCTCCGCCGAAACCACATCTTTTCATCAAGAATTGCATCATTCATCTTTCCCAACTGCTCTTCTCGAAGAATCTCTCGCTGAATTGTCTTCTCCCCAAAAGTCTTTCGGCGCTGCTACTGATTCATCGGAGCTTACCAACCTCCGTGTCCAAAATTCTGCACTCGCCTCTCGGCTTGAGGTCGCTGAGGAGCGTTATCGTAGCGCGGCAGCAGTCGTGCTTGAGCAAGAGAAAGAGGATTGGCGGCGACAGAAGGATGAGGAAATCAAGGCGGCGAGAAAGAAACGGAGAAGGCTGAGAAGCATGAGGGATGCGGAAGTAGCGAGGAGAAAGGAAATGGGAGAGGCCGTCGAGGATGAAGACGAAGATATTAGTGAACGCGGGAAGGACGAAGACGATCACTTGAGTAGTAGCACCGATGAGATGACAGAAAGCGATTAGAATCTGAAACAGAGCAGGAGGAAAGGAAACCATACTAACCGGTCAGGCAACCGATAAAGTCGCGGTTAGAGGTAAATTTTGTTGCTGGTTGGCCAAGCCAGAATTTCTGACCAGCCCTCAGTCAGCTACAAAAGGGGCAGTCTCAAAGCGCGATTAAAGGTGTCAAGCTGGTAGTGTTTGTTAGGATACGGGTTTGTAGCCCAAGCAAATTCGTACGCTGATATGCTTCTGCTCTAAGTACTCCGTACAGCTACCGGATCCAAGCCCAGCAACCCGGCCATTTTTGTTAGAAAGCGAGGCCAGAACAGCAGTTGTTACGGCTTCTGACCGCTGCAATGAGGAGCAAAAGCACGGGAAGAGCGTGAGACAACGATGATTTCAGTCCAATGGTCTTTCCTCGGTGCCACATTTCATTGTTTTCTATGCTCTATACAATCCCAAACTTTCCTCGCAGCTCGAGCCGCAATTGTCTTCTCTACACTATCCCACACCGCATATCCTCGTCACTTAAAGTGAGATTGGAGGTCGCCACTCTCGTTTCAGTTCCTCACATCTAGCCTCGACTAGCTTTCAGCCTGGCTTGATGCTACTGCAAAGAATGACTTGGAGGACTGTGACAGCCAGACGGATGTTGTTCATTGCTCAAACGCACTGTCTAGCGCTCCAGGCCTGTTGGAATGAGATGTGTCGGAGTGACCGTTGTAGTCTGGAGAGAGCGGAACAGCGGGCTCGATGCACCGTGTCTGGTGTTTTGCCAGGCTTACTACCGGCTCGGGACATGAAAGCAGTGAGGATACACCATTGTCGTGCAGCGCGGACGTTTGGTGTGCGATATAGACCAAAATATGCCCTATCCATGGTGAGGAACTTGGATCACTGCCGCGAGTGCGACCTCGCCTCTGATGTCGGAAGCTTCAGACCATGTCATCATCTCCTTCAACACAGCTTTGGGTGCCATAAAGGTGGCTTGAATAGGTGCGGGAATGTATCTCGTGTCCTGAGACAAAAGCCCTTTGAGGACAAAGCCAGCAATGGAAATGCCTGCTCCGAGGACGAGGAGATCAGAAGCTAGGGTCATGATAGATATCGGAGAAGACATTATAGTGGTTTATGATGCGGTTTGGTATGTTCTAGCTTGTTCGAATGATTTGGCTGAAGGAAGTGTGGAACTTGGTTCAAGTAGTTTTTGCTTTGTTATTCTTCTTCTTCTTGCTGAATTGAGATGTTTAGAGGTAGTGAAGATTGTATAAGAGAGGAAACAAGCGTGCCGAGGTGTTTCTTTCGGATACAGGAAGCGTTTAAAGTGTCTTGCATGACAACCTGGGAAAGAGGTTGCGCTTTGTCCATCCCCACCTCCTGGTGGCCCAATCGAACGCAAGGCTCCAGGCGCAACAGTCGAGCTCAGACGTCAGGCGTGCATACTCCGCATTGATCTGCATGAATGTGACTAGATTGAGTGCAGTCTCATGTGGATCGTGCCTCGGCTGTGACGAGGACTGTGAAAAGGACGCGTAGCGACGGGAAAAAATGGACAGAGAGGTTCCGCGACCATGGCGCATAGATGAGGGAGAAAGCTCTCTGCATTCTGCCTTCTAATTCACGAACCTTCGTTGACTTCGGAACAAATATCAGCGTGTCGCTTCAACCAAGCTTTCACAAAAGGGCACTAGGTATGATAGATCTTTTGTGGACTTCTGGTTTACGAGTATGCTTATGTCTTAAGTCACTCTCTCTGCTCGTCCAGCTACCTACCTAGGTAGGTAGGCTGCCATTAAGTAAAGTTTATGTCAGGCACATATCCTCGAACTGTTCACTGGCTTGCAGAAGGGTTCGACGGTGGGATATGATTGGGTTCGGAGCCATGATGAAGGCTTTGACCACAGCAATTGACGCAGGTCACAAGGAAAACCCTGTGCTCGGCTGTTTCAGGAATGTGCAGTCGGTCGTGTGTGAGGTGCTGTCAAGACTTCCTGCACGTCATGGATTACCAACATGCGGAGCAACGGACACCCCACGTGACCTTGGAATATGGCTTATTGGCCTCTGGTATTTGCTAGCGTGCATGATTGGGGCCAGAGCCTTCTCCCTCCTGACCAAAGGGCAGGTATTTTAAGCTTCGTGGGACCCTGTGGCAAATACATTGCCCGATAATTTTGAGCAGAGCCTGGCAGCAAGCGGGAGTTTTTGGTTCAATCGAACACATTTCCTAAGAATGTGTCATACTTCAGACTCACGTCGAGAAATTTAATCAATTACTACGGACAAAACTCTTCAAGTCGGCCATTAACATGACTCAAGCAGCCACAATGTTTGGCCCACCTCTCATTTCAAAAAGTTCAAACCATGGCATTCATGTATGCGTAGAAATCCGTTCGTTTTGCTTACTCGAGTTCTTCGACACCAGGGACGCGATGCATAGTGAGATATGTGATTCCTGAGCCCCACAGAGGTGCTCAAACCCTGTCTAATGACAGCTTTAGACAGAGCATTGAGAACACAGAACACAAATATGAAGCCATGACAGCATTACTACTCTCCATCCCCTTTATCTGTTCACAAGATTTCCTTGATCTGACATTCCTACATTCCAGTCAGCTTCCCCTTGTTCCTCAAGCATCCAAATGTAACAACTGCAACGTACCAAGCAACCCCATGGACATATCCATCCCGTCACTGGAAAACACGAACACCTTTCAGCACTCAAACTCCTTCACGACATCTCTCAGGGCTGACCAGTAACCGGACAAGAACGCCGGCGTTGTCGCCTTGTCGTCCAATTGAGCAATCTCGTCCTTTGCGGATTGAAAGCGTGCGTTGATGATAGGGCACGTTTGGTTCGTGCAGCCGCGGTCGACTGCGTTGCCGTTGGCCATGTCGGGTGCGAGTTCGGTGAGGGCGAGGCGAGGGGCGAAGAGGAAGAGGACGGCGAAGACGGCCTGGAGGGGGAGTTGCATGGTTGGTTGCTTTGTTTGATGGAAAGGGCGGAAGGAAAAGAAGCCGAGTGGGTCTGATGGGTCGGAGGGAAAGGGTCTTGAATGATAGGAGCAGGGGTGGTGAGTATTTGTAGGATCCTGGAGCTAGAGAGAGTTTGGTACTTTTGCCCACTGTATGTGTTCGTTTGGACATGGCTTTTCTTGACTGGCGGTCAGGGGCTGCTTAATGCGCGTTTCGGAGGGATATTCGGTATTCGCTTCATTCGATCCGCCGGATACCGTTGGCACAACCTTTGTATTTCAGCCGTGCCATGATTATTAATGCTGTTTTCCACCATGGCGAACGGGCTTCTAGATTGTCGAGTCGTGAACAAGACTTGCAGTGTAGGTTGATTGAAGGGTTTGCCGAGCACCGACGACGTCTGAGTCTTTATTTGACAGAGGGGCGCCACAGATCGAAGTGCCCTATTGATTTGGGGAAAGCTTCACAAGAGCAAGAACCTTCTCACAGGTGTCAAGCCGTGGTAAAGTTCCAGCCACCGAAAAACAAAAAGAAGCCATAAGGCGAGAAGCCCCCTCACACTTGGACACGGAGGGAACGATGAAGAGGATAAAAAGGGTGATGAGGCATATGTGTATTGGCAAACCTCGCGGGTGTATGTTCAGGGTCAAACACGTCGCAATGCAGGCTGCCGTAAGAGATGCCCTCCTTATCAAGCCACTCTGCTAATAATGCATGATCGTGAAGACGATTCCGAACAATCCGTATTCTTACCGAACCCTTCCTTCCAAGAAGTAAAATCAGACGCCAAGGGTATTGCTCAGTGTCGTATCATACGTATCATCGAATTCGGCGCTCATCTTTCTCCACCCGGCTGCCAGCCATTTAACCAAGTCATGATCCCAACTCCGATAAGTACGACCCCGACCATAGACACATAAGGTGCACTCTGTACCATGCGCCCACCCTCTCCTGTACTGCCCCATTGCCGTTGCTGCTGGAGTACGTTTGATACCGTTTTCTCCAGCTCTCGGTGCATGTCCTCTATTGCAGCGGTGCCATTTGGTAGCTGGTGATGCAGATGCGAGGACGACGAGCTGCGGTCCATTCCTTTGGAACGTGTAGGACCCTTTGAGTCCGCACCTCCATCAACGTCGCCATTGCCGAGAAGTGTAGAGTCTTCGTCATTTGTTGTTGGCATCACGCTCTTGGAGTCGCGTCCTGCTCGAATGCTTTCCACCATCTCCGCTAAGCCCCTTTGTCCCTCTTCAGCGTCTTCTGCCCTTTGCTTGTATGATTCCATCAGCAACTTCAAGTCATCCATCTCTTTAACCATGAGGTCTATTCTCGCCTGTAGCCGCGAGGTTGAGGTATCGATATCTACTGTGCCCTGATGCATCTCTTCAGCGCTCTTCAAAGTCGCTGTGGATATTGATCTTGGAAGCAACTTCGACTCCTCGTCATCCTCCGCATGACCATTTGGTAGCTCGTGCTCGATGAGCTCCAGAGTATCCAAGGGTGGCTCGAAGGCCTCCTCAACAGTACCGTTGGTCTCGTGATCATCTTGGCTACCCGATAAGGTGCGCGCACGCCGTTCCGCAAGCTCACGTGCCTTGCGCTCTCGTGCCAATGCAACTTCGAGATGCTTTACGCGGCTGCCTTGCGAATCTATTTCTTGTTTCGCTGACTTTAATGCTTCAAGCAGGGAGACAATCTGGCCGCTCGGAATCTCTTTTGTAGGTGAGTTCAATCCTGATTTTGGTCTTTCTGTATCTACTCTCTTCAGGGATGGCTGAGACAACGAGTCTGGTATGGTGAAGCGAGCGGAATCTGGTTTTTCAGGAAGAGGATGTTGTGGCGGTGGGGCTGGAGGCTGCGAAAATGGAGACATAATGTCGACCTGGGAAGGTGGATGAACACCGTTCGTTTTATTCTCCTCTGTAATATGTTTCGGTGGGGAATTAGGGGGCTCTTGGCCAGGTTGTAGCGTTAGTAGAGTGTTGAAAAAGTCCCCAGTACGGTGGAGATCCTGGGATTGCTGCTTTGCTTGCTTGAGCTCCCCCTGGCATATATCAGCAACTGTGTACACATATTTAAGTCTAGCTTTCGACTTACCCCCAGCTTCTTCACGACCTGCTCAATGGTGATAGGACCCATCCAAAGATTCATTTGCCTCTGCGGTCCCAACATATTTGAATTGCCCCCGGCCATACTCGACGGACCAGTCATACGGCCGTTGCTGCTCACGGAGCCTTGACTACCACCTCGGCCTCGTATTTGTGACATTTGCTGACTCATGGGCTCCCCCATCATCGCGTTGCCGCCACTCGAAGTATTGGCACTGAAGTCAATTTCCAGTAGGCTTGGAGGGTTGGGATAAATACCCGCAAGTTCAACTTTGGCGGAGACTTTGTGGTGTACAATACTTTTCTGATCCTCACTCACAATGTCAATACCCAGCTCCAACGTGTCTTGTTCCCGAAGTTCGTGCGGCTCAGAATCTCTGTTTTCCGCCGATAACCTAACTCCGTTGACGAAGGTTCCATTCGATGATTTCACGTCTTTGATCCATATCTTGCCAGTCTCCTTGTCCGCCCACACCTCAGCGTGTTGCCTCGAAAGTACCTTGGAGTCGAAATAGCCGTTGACGGGCGTTGGTACAGTCTTCGCATTCGTTTGACGACCAATCCGCAAGAATTCTGGAGAAAATGGTACTGTAATTTGTTTTCTTTCGAAGGTACCGGTCATTGGCAGCAGTGCCAGAATGGCCGGTGACGGTCCTGAACCTGTAGTCTGCTGTTCTCCTCTTCCTCCATTTTGCTGTGCTTGAGATTGAAGTCTGTTTTGTGAGGGTAATACTGGGGAAGGCTGGTGCATTGCGGTGTTCATGGTGGACGCGGCTGACTGACCTGACGACGGGGTCGGGAGTGCCTGTGATCTCGCTGTAGATAGACCTGATACAGGCTCGGCTTTGGAAGACGGCCAAAGACCTCTGGCACCACTGGCCGCCTTTTTCTTTGGTCCCCACCCTCCTTGTTCCCCATTCGCAGTTGGGGTATCGCCGTTCGTTTGTGGGGCAGGAGCAGGTGAAGTGAAGGTAGATGACGAAGCTGAAGAAGTAGTCGAAGAAGCCGAGTTCGTGCGCTGTGCACCCTTGCGAGGCATGAACATTCTGGTAACCTCCTCGGCGCTCATAGGTCCCTCTACACCACTACCAGCATTCCATTGTGGCTGAAAGCTAGGCGGAGACGCTACAGCAGTCATCGATGTAGTGATAATTCCGTTGCAAATTTGCCCCTGTACCATCCAACTTCCCTAAAGCTCCAATTCCACTTCCAAGCGGTCCTTGGTTTCAGGTCCCACGTTGTTGAAACAAGCGCGCCACTGCAGGCCCCGAGCGTGGAGGGAGGTGACTTCGGGTGATGAAATGACCCCTCATGTGATTTGGACTTGTAAGGAGGCGTGAGAGTTTGGTGGATGTGCAGCTCCTGGCGTGACACAACTGGTGAAATGACGATGGATGCCGGACGACCGCAGAGACCCTTATAGCAAGAGCTAGGTCACCAATGAAAAAAAGATCAGACCAGCTGCGTGTCTGCTTGAAATTCAGAGGAGAATTGAAAAGGGTTAGCAGCAAGTGTGATGATAGTATTGAGGCCCGCCAACGTTGATGTACTGGTTGTTTGATTTTAAACCTGAGGGGTAGGGTTAAAGGGATAAGTCATCGTTGGTTTTTTGGCAGGCGTAAACGCGAGCTGATAGGGCTGAGACAGACGCCGGCAAAAACAATGACGAAGCGTTATTCATAGAAAAAAGGACATGAGTTCACAAAGGCTTTGTACATTTCTACATCATCCCGGTCTGATCCATCCGAGTGTTGTATTTTCGTCTGTGGGGATATTGCATGTAACTGCTACGTTGACAGCCATACGTGACTACATTTTCCTGCGCCACGGGTGGTCCGAGCTTGCAACGGAAGACTCGAAAGTCAAAAGACTCAAAGCTTTCCAAAACATTCTGAGAGCATTGATACACGACTCAAATTTTGCAGGCACATCCGCAAGCTATCCCTACCTTTCCCCTACATCCTATAACCATCTATATATTCAACATGCCGCCAATGCCATCGAGCGCCACAGGCGGAGGACGCATGCAAGGTCCCTCCACGTTTGATAAATGTGTGCTCTCTCTACCCTCACCCACGTGCCATTGCTAACAATAGTCAGGGAAAATGGGCGCAATGCTTGGAGGCTGTATGGACATTCAATGATGCCTGCGTTGGGTCAAGTCTTCCACTAACCAGTTATCTTACTCTACAGCCGTAGGTCTGATCATGGGCTTCATCTTTGGTACATCTTTCAACAAAACTCCCTTGCAGGACAAGTGAAAGAGTGCTAAGATAATGTGAAGGTGGCTTCAACATTATGAGGTACGGGGCTGGTCCCAGTGGCCCTATGAGGACCTTAGGTCAATACATGCTGGGTTCGGGGGTTACATTCGGGTACGTTGGCTATGGGCTTTCCACCTCGCGCCGCCTGGCACATTTACCTGAGTCCAGCTTGATGCTGACCGCCATTCTACTCGACAGTTTCTTCATGTCAATAGGCTCTGTAATCCGCACGGAAGGCAATTCACCCTTGGCCACCGAGGTATTTGCACGAGCGAGACGCCAACCTATGTTACTGCCTAGAAAACATGCGAGGAGACTAGAGCAAAGAGATGGAGGAGAGCAATGAGCTGTTAAATCGTGTACAAAAGATATAAATTCGAACTGTGGCTGTGATCTTGCTACCCACCTATCTCAGTCGATTACTTACCCACCCCAACAACGTTGATTATGGATCACGCACCCGCTACTTTTGCCCTGATGGCTATCTCAAAGCACTAATGGTCGTCTCGCTGCTCATTCAATCGTGGTGACTTCAACGGCACTATTGTTCTTCTTGACCCGGTACGGCCTACTCATAATTTGCTATCTAGGGAGCTGTTGAACAGGAAAGAAGGAAACGAAGGAAAAGACATGGATCGGGAAAGTTGAGAAAGAGATTGGGATAAAGATAATAGGAAAGGGGAAGGCAGTAAGGATACGAAAACGATGTGGAACACGTCTATAGGAGGCTACCCCTAGGTTTGAAGCGGTATAGCAGTGAAAATTTTCCCAGAAAAATCATAGGGATTGGCACTAAAAAGTTGCTATGTGTCGGAAAGCGAGAGTATGTATATGATTTACTGGAAGACTGAAAATGCTTGTCTCACCACCCTCTAGACTCGAGACATTTGGACAGTCTATAAAGACAGAACCACTGAGTCTGACGACAAGTGTAGGTAGTGTCTCATCTCAAACGTAGGTGATTGGACAGGCGCAGGGGAAATGAGTTGTCCAATGCCGATACTTGGTTAGCTACTACATTGTCAGCAAATATGTCACACTGGGCTTTGGTCTCCTCCAGTGCTGCAAGCGTAAAAGCCAAGAGATATTGGCGGAAGAAGTGTAAGAATAGTTTAGGCGGATTGTATGATACCATGAAAATGTCCTGTACTCCACGCCGAAATTCAGAAGTAGTGTTTTTTGGGGGCCGCCTGCGCCTGCCGCTGAAGCCGCGATCACAGGGTTGGAAAGCATCCTTTTTACACTTTTCGCAAGCATGTGCAAGCCACAGGGTGCTTGATGCCATCACATGAGCTGTGGCAACAGCAGCTGCAACCATTGTTACACGTCTACTCGTACACCATCCAGCCTTCACAAGGCCTAGGCGAAGTGTATCACAGTATGCGCGATGACAACAAGATATACACAGGACGAGTGGCTTGCTATATTTGACCAAGCGGGGCAGAACCTATCAAGTACCCCAACAGAATACAAAGCACCAAGTGTCGGGACTGCGGCGTTTGCTAAGACCTTTGATCATACGCTCTTAAAGCTCGAAGCGACAGGCACGCAGGTGGATACTCTCTGCGAGGAAGCTAGGAGACACAATTTCAAAGTGTGCCATTTCTTTCGATGCGAGATTTGATTAGATCTGGCCCAATTCTACTATGATCTATGTAAATCCATTCGTCTCAGAAGCATCCTTGGAATAATTTTATCCTTCATAACTGATCAAATCTACAGTCCGTCTGTGTACGACTGAAGTGGGTGGACCGCGCTGCTCACAATCTGCAAGGAGGTTCGGTCGTTGTAGCTTGTGTGGTCGGATTTCATGAGGGAACCCAATCCATCAAGGAGAAGACAACGTGGGAAGATTCTTACTAGAGGGTAAAGCAGCGCTGATGACAATTCAGTGAAGCCTCGAGAGCTGTCGATGCAGGCGCCAAAGAGCTCGACATGGTCATGAATCATGTTCTCCTCAGACAGAAACACTACTCCAAGGTGTACACAGACATAGCAGCTGTGCGTAACGTGGCACCTCATCCAATCATCCTTAAGGTGATCCTGGAAACATCTCAACTATCTCCACGCGAAATAATAGCTGGATGCAAGATAGCGGAGGCAGCAGGGGCCGATTATGTGAAGACTAGCACTGGATTCAACGGCCAAGGTGCAACTCAAGAGAACGTCAGACTGATGAAGAGCGTTGTGGGAGACACGATAAAAGTCAAGGCAAGTGGTGAGTGCACTTTTCGGAGCCTTTTCCCCGCAATCGATGCCATAGTTGAGTCCCGCGAAGTGTCTCGGGAGCAAATGCTCTTCATGCTTTTGTTTTATGACTTGCAATTTCGGTCTCAAAGAATTCGTACTGACTCCGAAATGTGCAGGCGGCGTGAAGACGGTGAATGAGTGCGTGGTCATGATGGAAGCTGGTGCAGAGAGAATCGGCACGAGCAATGGAGTATGGATCATGGATGAAGCAAAGGGTTTGCTCGAGCAGGTAACCCATGCTGCTGCAACTGGGGAACTGAAAGGCCAGAGGCCAGCATCATCGTTAACGCGGATGTTCAGTTCTTCATGAAATTATCGTAACATATGGACTCTGATCCGATTGGAAATGCCGTCCAGGGCGATATGACCATTGATATGAATCTGTTACATATTGGCGTTACCCCAAGACCTCTATCGCGTCGAAGACAGAAGGTTTGTCTCTTTCAAACTTCTCGCAACATTCATTCCGCTCGACTACCAACCAACCGTGACTTCCTTCCAGTCTTTTGATGAGACGGCGAAGGTTCCAGCCCTTTCTGCTCTCGTGTCAGAAGGGTAGTTCCTCTTCGTGCATTTGCCTCAGGAGCCATCCTAGAGGTCATACATTCCGGATTAAATTGCCTGGCAGATCTCGTAGTGGAGAGACCCACGTTTCAATGGCTTTAGAACAGTGATTAACAGCCCGCTCCGGGCCTCGAACCCTCACTCTCTGCCGTTGACTGTGCTTATCCCCAGAGGGATAGTGATCAATTGAGGGACGAATCCTTCCTGATGGCAGCTGACATCAGCAACGATATATGAGCATGTAACACAGAGCACACAATGTTTAAAATTGTGGTTGCTCCCTAATGCTCTTCAAAAGGCACGTTATATTCCTTGACAATTTTACACCTATCTTCATTTATAAAAAAAACATCACCCCGTTTCAAACTCAGACAAAAAACGCACGCAGGGCCCGCACCCTCCGCTTCGATATTTTTCCGCTCTCGACATTTGCCTCATTTACTTTTCCAACATCATGTGTCTTCATCTTGCGCATTTCCATGCTTTCTCGTCAGTCACAATGAAGATGTTGGAGAGCGTCTCTCTCGGAATACATATACAGTCCATTCTCCCTAATTTGCTTGTGTTTCTCAAGCATTCTCATCTGTTCGCACAGCGTCACTTCCATCGAATTCACAGGAGGGATAGAACCGCGAGAATTTCCCAAAAAGACGGCTAAACGAAACTTCCGTATCCCTATCATGATTACAAAACCACTCCCTGTACACAAAGTCCAGGATCCTAAGTGAATCAAACGTATTCATACCAGTATTAGTAGATAGCGCAGTCGTTTCAGAAGAATTGCCGGCAATCGTCTTCTGTAATATTCTTGGTATCTCATTGGCGGAATTAAAGAGGTACGTGAAAAGCTTCGGATCCGGAAGTGGGCATGTTGAGTTGTCAGGTCGCCATCAGTCTTTTGGTTGAGCTTCATGTTGCGCTTCTTAGGCACAGGCGCGGAGGTACTTATTACTTTAGAGTTCCTCGGTCTTGAAATGCGGCTTGCATAGAACAGCAATTGCGGTGACGATGTCCGGCTCTAAGAAATACGCATGGCGTGACGCGATATACGCATAAAACTGGCCTTAGACGTCAAAATAAAGTTGGACGGGGTTCTTCTCCAGTATCAGATGGCGTTATCAGCGCAAGCACCTAAACTTTTGCCCCCACGAAGCAAATATGTATTCCACGGAAAAATATGACCCTCTTCGCCCCCAGAGTCTGCTTTTGCTCAAGAGGAAGCCTGTTGGTACTGGCCAGTTTCGAATACATCGTCCCTTAACATTGTGAGAGCAGCATTGCATTCCCGAACACTCCAGAATATATATGTAAAAGACATCAGCCAGCTGAACCCGCAAGGCTGATGGCCCCTCCTTTCCTTACAGCTCTTGACTCGGCTGGTCATGTCCATCTGATTGTTGGATCAAACCCATTAGCCAGTGCGAGGTGCTCGAAGAGCATTGAAGTCGCCGCAAAGCCAAAAGTCATTGCCCCAGCGGACGCAGACTTTCATTATGTACTGGCAAAACGAATCGAAGATGGAGAAGTGGAATGGATCAAGAAAAGCTTCGAGGATACAGATCTTTCAACGCTGGGAAGGGGTGAGGTAGACAATGTTGTAGACGCCGTATTCGTGACCGTGAATGGGAAGAATGCATTAAGTATGAGAGATTTTGCTCTTTGCAAGGACGTAAGCTTACCAGTCATTTATAGGCACACATATCTCTAGCTTGTGCCGCCGTATGCGTGTACCAGTCAATGTTGTGGACGCACCCAATCTATGCACGTTTACACTTCTTTCTACGCACGCGGATGGACCACTACAAATTGGGATCACGACATCTGGCAAGGGCTGCAAGCTTGCTTCAAGGATACGGCGAGAGATTGCGTCATCTCTCCCGCCCAACTTTGGCACTGCTGTGGAACGTCTAGGTACGATTCGGCGTCGGATATGGGAAGAAGACCACAGAACGTACGAGACCGAGGAGCCAGCTACGGAAGTTGAGGACGATGATGCCACAGCACAGAGGCCTACCTTCAATCGGTTGGTTTCAGAGACAGATCACAACGCTGCAAGAACACGCCGTATGCGCTGGCTTTCTCAAATTTGCGAATACTGGCCTATGCGACGGCTCGCTTCCATTACGGATGCCGATATTGATACTATACTGCGATCCTACAACACCCCGAGCGATTTAGTGCCGCCTCCATTGGATGCTACGAATCCAGACACACGCAGTGGTCCCAAACCAATGATCATTCTGGCCGGATCTGGCCCTGGCAATCCGTCACTCCTGACAATGGCCACCCACCGCGCGATCCAGACCGCTTCCGTTATCCTCGCGGATAAGCTTGTTCCAGCTCCTGTGCTTGATCTTATTCCTCGTCGCACCCCTGTCCACATCGCTCGCAAATTTCCTGGCAACGCAGACGCCGCTCAAGCCGAATTGCTCTCACTTGGCCTGGAGGCCTTGCAGAAAGGCCATACCGTACTTAGGCTAAAGCAGGGTGATCCTTACATCTATGGACGGGGAGCAGAAGAATTTAGTTTCTTCCGAGAAAGGGGTTATGTTCCAGTTGTTCTCCCAGGCATTACTAGTGCCCTTTCAGCTCCATTGTTCGCTGCTATACCGCCTACGCACCGCAGTGTGGCGGATCAGGTCCTGATTTGTACGGGTACAGGACGGAAAGGAGCTGCGCCTGACCCTCCTCCCTACATTCCGACACAGACAGTGGTCTTCCTCATGGCATTGCATCGACTTTCTTCTCTTGTTGATGCTTTGGTTGGAGCAGGACGTACAATGGAATCATCGGAAATTGAATCAAAACCCAAGCCTTGGCCGCGAGAAACCCCTTGTGCCGTCGTCGAACGAGCTTCTTGTCCAGACCAGCGGGTCATACGAAGTACGCTGCAGCATGTCTGCACAGCCGTCGAAGAAGAGGGGAGCAGACCTCCTGGATTACTGATCGTGGGCTGGAGCTGTGAGGTGCTAATGGAGATGAAAGGGACAGGGAGATGGTTGGTGGAGGAGGGATTCGCAGGATTCGAGGCACCAGAACTTGGAAGCAATGGTTCAGCAGGCTTGGTGAAAGGGATGAGTATAGATGGTCCCTCGAGAAATGAACATTTACTACACAACAGCGAGACATCTGCTCAAATATCGGATCTGAGTGTTCAATAAGGGTCATTTAGCATGGGTCTATGTTGAAAATGTCGATATATCGAGCTTTGTTCGTGTACATGAAAGGAAGTTGTTCTTGGTATATAATCAAATTCATGTAGTTTAATCTAAAAGAACTCTCATCGCATCGTGTGCGCCTAGTCCACTTCCAAAGTCACTGGTGCAGGTGCAACCGTGCACGGCAGGATTGCAGCTCGCTAAATTTCTGCGTGGGGGCTGTGCTAGAGATTTAGGTAGGGCCTAGGGGCTTGGTCCGACCTCTAACGTCTAAACATCGGAGCAGCCATTTTCGCCTCCCAACCCGCTCCCTTCGCCTGAGCCATTGACATTAGGGAGAGCCTTACCCCACATTTGCAAGCGTCCAAATTCGAGACCTAGGCTCATAGGGTACAACAGGTAGTCTGGATGTCTTGAAGTTGGACCTCGTTTTGACCGATTGGGCCCCCCCCAAACACCAACTTATTTACCGTTACTGACCTACCGTACTCACTCACACCTCGGCCTATACTGCACAAAGACAGCTTTGCTACTGCCACTGTCACACTGTCACACCCCAGCTCATACATCATGCTCACTCGACGGCTCTTCACGAGCTCCTCCACCCCCTCCACCCTCCTCCGCACCTTCACCACCTCGACCGCCCACCAACGCTCTCCCGCCCTCGGCGACATCACACCCAACGGCGCCGCAAAGTTCGACGCCCGCCAAACAGCATTCCGAGAAGAAGTGCGAGAGGCCCAAAAGGCCCAAGAAAAGCAAGATAGTCAGTCGTCTGTTACAGCTCCCACTGCCCCAACAGCCCCCTACAATGCCATCCCAGGCGCTGCTCCCTCCACTTCACCAGCAAGTGATGCGGGTTCCGCCTCCTTGCATGGCCATGTTGCATTGGGCTCACTGTCAACGCATGATGCAGGGGCCAGTCGCGAAACGTCACAACAACAGGAAAGCTCGAAACATAAAGGCGCATTAAGCAGCTTGATTTATGGCACGCATGAAGGACAACAGATGGACCACGAGATCGAGAAGAGCTTTAGTCAAGTGCTGGCGAGAGGGAAGTATGTGCATAGTATCGTGATGCACTCTGTCAAACCGGACAAGGTGGATGAATACGTGGATCTAGTAGGAGATTGGTATCCGAAGGTCGCCAGTACACCGGAGCACCACGTACATTTGGTCGGGAGCTGGAGGACTGAAGTGGGTGACTGTGATACTTTCGGTATGTGTTTCTCGCTCTTTCCTTGAGGAGATGGGACGACTTCGAATTGACGACTCGGCAGTCCATATATGGGAGTATCAACGCTATCAAGGCTACCACTCTTCGCTCCACTCCATCCAACACCACCCCGACTTCCCGGCCTTCGACCACAAACTCAAGTCTTTAATAACCCACAAAGAAACCTCGCTCATGCAAGAATTTTCCTTCTGGCCCACTACACCCCCTCGTCAGCTCGGCGGACTTTTCGAATTACGCTCTTACACTTTGCACCCTGGCAACCTCCTCGAATGGGAAACTCATTGGCGACGGGGCTTGAAGGCAAGGAGAGAGGTTATGGAGGGGGTGGGAGCATGGTTTGTGCAGATTGGAGATTTGAATACTGTGCATCATCTGTGGCAATTTGCGGATCTGGAGGAGAGGAAGGCAAGGAGGGAGATGAGCTGGGGAGTGGAAGGCTGGGGTGATACGGTGCACAAGACCGTGCCCCTGATTCAGAAGATGAAGTCGAGGATCCTGATTCCAATGCCATGGAGTCCTGTTGCTTGAAGAGAGGGAGCAGATCCTTGCTGTATTCTAGGTGTGGTCGATCAAGCAGAAGGGGCAGGCAGCTTGCTAGTCGCTCAGAGCGAGGAGTGTGCATTGTTGAGGATGGTCTCATCCTTAAAGACCGTCGATGCGGCCTTTGTGTACATCTTCGCGCGTTTAGCGCTATGTATGCTCATTTTTCTTGCGGAATAGCCTGTTTATCAGCATAGAATTCAAGTCAAACCAGATATCTGTTCATCAGTTTACGCGAGATATACATTATCGGCATTCTGGGATCTTTCGTGTCGCCTTCCACCAGGACTACCAGAAACTACATTTGCATTGAACAACCTCAAAACCATTCATACTGTTGCCCATGTCTGGACAGCCCCTTGAAATGGAACCACTCCAGCATCTCACAACAGCATCAATGACCCTCTTCTCTATCCACCCTCTCCTCATGAGTATTGCCATGCCGCTGGTCCGCCAGTGTTCGCCGTCCCCAGCTCATCGCCGCTCGCGGCGAAAGCAACAAAGCCCAAACAAGCACTCACGTTGCCACCCGGCACATCGCAATCCTTGATCCCCTCGACATCAGCGAATACCTGCCACGGCGTCGTCCCGTTCTTCGCCGGGCAGGCCAAGAAGCCAGTGGAACCTAGGGCAGAAAAGCTGAACACACCCAGTGCGTTGTCTGTGCCGGGCGCGAAGGAGAAGCCGGTCGTGGTGCCGTTGTTTTCCTCGGGTTGGCCTTCGGCGTGGGCGAGGGTGAAGGAGAGCGCGCCGGTGGGGAGGACGTAGACGATTTGGCCGCCGGGAACTTCCGCGTACTGTGATGGTTAGGCGTCTTCCGGACACACCGAGGTAGGTTGTGGCAGAAGGGAGAGATAGAGCAAAGGACACCGTCTGGCACTTTCAAGAAAATCAGGGGGGGGAGGGGGCAATTCACCATCGAAGCACCACCGTCACCCGCCAAAAGTTCGGTGTATATGCCGGTGGGACAATCAGGGCCGACGTCCGTGGGACAGTAGCTGGCAGTGTTCTTTCCGATCCAGAAGCTTTCGCCGTTGGCGTTGATAGCCGACAGGTGGATGGGGCTGCCGGAGCGGCCAGCGATGAGAGTGAAGGGGTTAAGAGTTGATTGGCGGGGCTCGAGAGGAAGAGGGTTGGCAGAGGCGAGCAGGGGGAGGAGAGATGTGAAAACAAGGGAGGAATACATTGTCGGTGGCAGTTTTTCTTCTTCTTGAAAGTATCCGTTTGGCGGTTGATGCCTGTGGATTGGGAGAGTGTGGTCAAGTGAGAGATGCAATATGTGTTTGACTTGAGTGTTGGCAGTGAAGACTTCAAAACGAGAAAATCTCTTCAGGTTCGCTCTTTCCTCATCGCGAACCGGGTCTTTGTACTCTTTCAACTTGACGCTTTCCCGTCGTCCTGTTTCTCGGAGATGCTCTACTCCCTGGAAGCCAAACTTACGCAAATTGACATCCTCATTCGTATCCTTCTGCGTCCCTGAGTTGCATACATCGATTTCAATGCGCCTCTACGATTCAATCCCACCACTCTGAGATCCTTCTACTTCGTATTCACGATCCCCACAATGATCCAACCGGCAGAGTTGCGTCACGTATGGATTGCGAAGATGAATGCACCTGCCTTTTGGAGCGCATAAGCTGAGCTTAGCCGCAGCAGCGTGATGCTTCCGAGGCTCATGATTCGCAAGTGATGATGGTGAGCGTCGTATTGAAATCTGTAGGATATAAATAGAGAGCTTGGTAACCCCTCAGCAAGTCCCGGATGTCGGAAGAGCTGCATCTTGGCATTTAGTAGGTACTTAGGCGCACTCAGAGATGACGTATTGGCAGAGAAAGTAGAATTCAAGAAGACCTACAGTACCGTAAGTACATGTAAGTACCTATGTGAATGTCAGCAGACGATGGTTGCAGATCTGTTTTAGGTAAGCAGTTAGGTAAGCAGTGTGGGGGGCATGCCTTCATTGAAATTTGAGATACAGGTGCGCTGGCGCCAAGACACGCTAGTTATGAATAGGCTGTCTGACTCTACGGACGTCAAAATTCACATTCGTGCCACCGACAGCCAGCAATCATATGGATGAGCCGATGGATATTCTCCAACGTTTGACTGACCTACTATGAGTATCAGCAATGTCCATATTCTGTGTCAGGAGCGTCCATATTTCACCCATCATTGGATTTTCCTGGCGCTTGATTTTGTTGCTTTGGACAGCTGCATATCTGCCACCTATCTAGAGATCGTGGCAAGATCTTTATTTGACCAAATATCGCTCGAACCATTAGCATTATCAACGGTCCCCAATCGCCTCCAGGCGAGACCGACTGAGCTTCACGTACATGACTTCAAACCCAGCGACGTCGTCGTATCACTGTCAATGATCCTAGCCAATCAGAACGACAGGAAGTCTTTCAACGCATGAACTTATCTTCGCACCATGAAGTACCTATTGTCTGCGAGACCTGAAAGAAATGCTATAATACCATTCAAAGATTGGGTGCAGACGGGAGGGTCTACCACCCACTTTTGGTGGTTGAGATACAACTTGCGAGGCAGTCGTTAATTAACAGTAACCCATTCCCTCACTGCGCCCCGGGAATGATGTTCACAGCTTCATCTTGCTTCGAGGCATGCAGCTGTTGCGTTCCGTTCTCATGGCCCCTCTGGTGCCGTGCATCCACTTACGCCGCCCTGACTGAAATGGCGCAGCAAACGCCAAAAGAAGGGCAAGCCGCCACCATCAGCTTTGATCATGGGAATGGTTTCCTCAAGCAAAGTCTTCCTCCATTGTCTATATAAAGCCATGTAACAGAGCATTGGACGTGACTCGTCAAAGGGGAGCCACACACCCAGGATGCAGCTTACAGTCATCCAAAGACTCGTGTTTCGTCCTCATGCTACACTGTGCCATAAACAGTGTCGGTTCGCCATTGGTGATTAGCTTTATAATCGGGCACAAATCTTAGCTGGGTCGCTTTCTGATGGAGATGGAGTCCGATTACTTGCAAGCGGCTGCGTTCCTAGATACGGCTGATTGTCGATGTTTCATGACCAACGGAACTGACCAACACATTGCTTGTGTAGTACTGATGAGTTGTCTTGGCAAGGTGCTGCATTACATAGGATGTGCGCGTACATGGCTCAATGCCCAGCATAACTTTTTAACACATCCCCTTCGAATTTGTCAGTCACTGATTGTGGCGACCTGGAAAGCGACGAGTGCGAGGATGCATGCGACGCTTGCAAAGGTTGACACCGAAAGCGCAGCCATCATGAACGTGAGTCTCCCTTACCTAACGTCTTTTCACATCTGAACACTCCTAACAATCCGCGGATAGCCTGGATTCAGCTGGGCAGACGAATACAAGACCTGGGAAGATAACTTCCTCTTCCAGCAAGGTAGCCTCGTTGAACAAGCTCCTGAAATCGCCATCACCAACGCCAAAGATCAAATAACGAACAATGCGGCAATCGGTTCGCAAGCGCTCCGGAACAGCTTCGTAGCAGCCATCACTGCGCAGACTCAGGCGCCGGGGCTGGCAGATCCGAGTGATTGGCTGGATATCGATGACGCGCTGAAGATGCCGTATTTCCTCAAAGAGTAGGAGGATGGCTATGAGGGTTTGCGAAGTCTGCTTTCTATTAAATAAGGGACGGTACGTGATGGGGTCAGTGAGACTACCGAGGTAGATTAGGGAAGGTGTGTTGTAGTGTTAGCCATTTTCTAATTCTCTTTGCAACTATATAGCTATCATCGTTTGTCTTAGCTCTTCTAATCTACATCTCCTCAGGTAAATACGTCCGGCCTTCAATACTATAAAACGACAGGAGGACGAGACACTAATAACATTATAGAGTAAAGAAGGGGAGTATCAATTATACAGTGAATTTGAGAGTAAAAAAGCTAAAGAAGCTGAAGAGGGCGTCCGTCATCTACAACAAATGTAGCGGCACCTTGTCTCGCCAAGCGTGCCAAGGAAGGCAAGACTGCGGAGACATCCGGCGTTTACAACTCTTACTTTAGTAAAGTATTCGTGGCAGTAAGCGCGCTGTGAGCTTTGGAAAGCCGCCAGACTGAAAACTGGTACCTCAACATCTCCAAGACAAGCTACCTGAAAAAGCGTATCATCGACCGGTGATTCACACTAACTTGCGACACCGTCAAAGCCAAGCAACCAGCATTATGGCGGATGGACAGCTTTTCAAGCCTGAAAAGGATTACACTAAAGAAGTTGACAAGCAATTACCTGAGGCGGAGGAACTTGCGAAAAACAATGTCCAGGCAGCACTTGAGAAGCTTTCGGTGCTCGAGAAGCACACCCGACAGGTGATAGACTTCCAGGATTTTATCAAGGTTTCTTGCTGACAGCGATCGGAAACAGGCGTCAGACCTTGCCTCGACATCAAGACTTCTCGTCGCCATCATCACGATATCGAAAGACTCTGGAGACTGGGGCTTGTTAAATGAGCAAATACTATTGCTGTCGAAAAAGCATGGCCAGCTCAAACAAGCCACCACCAAGATGGTACAGGTTGCCATGTCATTCATAGATGAAGCACCGGACGCGGAGAAGAAGCTGGCGCTGATCGAGACATTACGGACTGTCACAGAGGGCAAGGTACGACATTACAGACAACTAGGCGATCCGTGAACATGGGTCTAATTTGGAGTCGTAGATCTTCGTCGAAGTTGAGCGGGCACGTGTCACCCGCATTCTATCCGACATGAAGAAAGAACAGGGCGATCTCAACGCGGCGGCAGACATCTTATGCGAATTACAAGTCGAGACGTTCGGATCGATGGAGCGGAGGGAAAAGACAGAGTTCATTCTCGAGCAAGTAGCGTTGTGCATAGAAAAGGGGGACTGGACCCAAGCAGGCATCCTGAGTCGGAAGATAAGCACTAAGTTCTTCGCCCGGAAACCAAAGAAGACACAAGAGCAGATCGAGAAGGATAAGAAAGAGCGGGAAGAAAAAGAGAAGAATCGAAGTATGGACGATCCCCCACTTGAGAAGGAGGACGATGTTACAGATCTGAAGCTACGGTATTACGAGCAGCAGATCACGTTGGCAAAGCAGGAAGACAAATATTTGGATGCATGCAAGCATTACCGGCAGGTTTTGGATACGGAGTCCGTCGAAGAGAATCCAGTACAGCTGCATGCAGTAAGCCAGCCCGTTGCACGCTCCTTCGTATTGCTACGTCTAACGTCTTCTAGGTCCTCCAAAGAGTCATATACTATATCCTTCTCGCTCCTCATGACAACGAACAATCCGACCTCCTCCACCGCATCAACTCCGACACCCGCAACTCCCTCGTCCCCGACGAGCAGCAGCTCCTCAAAACCTTCACCATCCCTGAACTCATGCGCTGGCCCATCGTCTCCGAGCGATTTGGCGCCCACCTTTGCTCTACTGACGTCTTCTCCGCTGCGGCCTCATCCTCAGATCAGGAAGATCCGAAGGCCCACACTCGCTGGCAAGATCTACGCAAGCGGGTTATCGAACACAACGTTCGTGTCATAGCGAAATACTACACGCGCATACAGATGCATCGACTCACTCAATTGCTCGATTTGGATGAGGAAGAGACAGAAAGCTATATCAGTCAACTGGTGACCGCCAAGACGGTGTATGCCAAAATCGACAGGCCTGCGAGAGTCGTTTCCTTTGCCAAAACCCGGGATGCAGACGAGGTCTTGAACGAATGGAGCGGGAGCATGAAGAGTCTTCTGGGCCTCCTGGAGAGAATCGATCACTTGATTACCAAGGAAGAGATGATGGCTCGTATACAGCCTGTGGGCGATAAAGCCGTGAAGGCCCGTTAATCAATGCATTCAGAGGGGCAATGAATGCTAGCAGAAGGAGGACGCAAGCGTTGGCAATGTTGCGGTAAAGGTCAATCAGATTTGCTGCGAATGGGGGACAGGAAGCGTAGCCCGGGCTGCAGATCATCACTTGACCGCTGACCCACGGGTCCGTTCGGGCATATGTAACAATACTCAAAAATAGAAGCAACATTAATCGAAGATCATTCCATGCAGGCAAGGCTTGCCGAGAGAACGTTTTGCGGGTTTTAATCGCTATTCTGCACAGGTTTACGCTACATTCCATATTTCGGACCCAACCAAGTAACAAGTCGGGGCATCTGATCGTCCCAAGACTCCCATTCAACAAAATCTTCAGCCTTTGTCATGGGCTTTTCAAGAGATCAGCCTGATGGGCCGTAATCCCTCTTCCGATCCATGAGTTCAGCGTTAGCTTCGATAGACGTCGCAAGCTTTTCATCCCAGCATTTCCGATTTCCAAATTCCGAATTCCTCAACATGTTCGTCTGCGGCTCCGTCTTCACTCCTCGGATCATCTGCCCGCCTGACCGACGGACTTTCAACTCAGATGGCACCCGGGTGTCAGAGGTCGGGTTGGAAGAGTGGGTCGAGTGGGGCAGGACGGAAGGGAAGGTTGGGAAGGGGTTGGGAAGAAGAGGCAGGTTTCCCACTGCATGAAGATAAGTCTGGTGATGTCCTTGCTGATGAGGTGCTTTTGTAGTGTAGTTGGCCAGCCAGATGAGTAACCCAACGCATGGATTTGGGGAGAGGGTTGGTGGTGGTGACTTGTCAATGAAATTGGGGTTGAGTGTAGAGACGGTGACTGGGGAGAAGAGGGGGGAGCGTAGAGGGTCGCCGGTGAAGAAGTTGTTCCGAAGAAAGGGGAGTGAGGATAAGGGAAAACAGTGACCAGAGCAGTCCAGGAGCAGATATCTGCAGAGATATCAGAATTTAAGCCGATGCATTTTAGGCTCTTTTTGACTCGACAAATATGCATTTCAGCAAATAGCGTCGAATGGTGCCAATGCTTTGAGCAAACAATAGACCCGTTACCCTGAGCCGTTCATCCTCTCGTAGGCGGACGTCCCGATGTGTGGTACCAGGGCGGAGGCATCGACAGCAGGTTCGAGCTCAGTCGTTCAGATGGTAGAAAAGAAGGTCCAACTCGTGAAAATTCTCAGCTCGATGTGAACCCGAGATCATTGATGCGAGATACGTGGTCGACGTGATAGAAGAGACTGAGTCCTTGAACGAATTACATAGCCGAAGGATGTGTGATTGGTGATTGAAGGATAACCGGATGTTGTTGATTTTCAGCTTTCGCTCCTAGTGAAATGGTCCACTTGATTGAGCTACCGTTCCGAGCTCAGCCTGCAATTCTGGGGCTTCAGAGGCTTCAAAGAATCCTCGCACATCTCGTGCACGAGATCGTAAGGAAGATGATGGATGTGTTCTTTTAGGCAGAAAATAGATAAGTGATCGCGCCCAGGCGGATCCCTCATCCATCCTGAGACTTTGATTACAGCTTTGGTAGACTGGAGTGTCTTCTTGTCAGCATGGATTATTGGCGGCCACCTAGGTATCTTTAGTCTCCATCATTTGCAACAAATACGGGGCCAGGTAGACTAGCAGCTTGATCGGCCATTTGCTCTCGAGGCGGGTCGTGTTTCCGTATTTGCGAATTTGTTAGGGTCTTGAGGCGATACCCGAAGACACTCCACTTCTTCGCCCTTATGCATCTCCTTCCAGATCTTCCCCCATGACCACTCCAACTTTAAGCCTCCACCCTCCGACCGCATGCCCCAAAGCGCTCAATTTGGCCAATACAGCCATTAGGCTTGGATCCTGGCTTTCTACCCTTACTTTCTCTTTCACAATCACCTCCTCACCACGGTAGTGGAATACTTGATCGAGCTCGTCATGGACAGGCGGTCGAGGACCCAGGCCAAGCCGGGTACGAAGAGAGAGGCCTGTGAGAGATGACTCCGGTGTAGACGGAGGAGCAAGAGTGCGGACATGCAGGAGAAGGGCCGCGTCGGCGATGGAGAGATGAAGAGACAGACTTGGCGGAACCGAGGGTGAGGATGTCTTGGTAGATTTGGAACGTGAGTAATTCGAACAGTGATAAGGAACTGTAGCGGGAATGCCACGAAAACAAATGATGTTCAAGGAGAAAGAAGCAAAAAGATTTCGTCAGACGAACGCAATGCTAGGGAAGCGAGATGGCATACATCCTCAGTCAGAGCATCTTCCCACCACTTCCCCCCTACTACATCTTCACCCCCTTTGAGCGTTTGCTGTGCCTCTTCGATGGTGTCAGCCAGTAAACGTAGCTGGCCAGATATGAAAGCCCCATTATGCGGATCGCCCGTCCATCTGCTAATGTCGATAATGTCCAGGGCTTGGTTCAAAAGGCTGAGCAAGGCAGTCAATTGTGGGAGTGGAACGGGGTATTGCAAGTGGACCGGATAGGATGAAAGAGAGCGTGGAGGGGGCAGAGTAGTGAGCCGAAGGTTAATGTCCTACATCATGCGTAAGCTGAGATGCTAGGATGCCAAAACAAAGGGCAAATCGAAGATAGTTTTCTTGAGACAAAAGCATGCAGGTATGTGTTGCGGTAGGCAAAGCATGAAGAAGAGTCCGACGGTAGTCTAATGGAAAGAAGGAAAGCGACATACTCCTTTGATAATCCGAGTGCCAATCCTAGTCACAAAACCTTTGACACTTTCAGACCGCAGTGACGATAGGGCAAGCGTGGACCCCGGTTCTTTCGGAGCCAGCAAAGCGACGCATTCCTGGAGTCCACTTTTCAGAGATGCTAGACTCTCCTGCAACAGATTCAGAAGCCATTCAAGCTCGCACGCCTACAATGCGTCAACTATTCCACATGTTCAGAAATACTTTGTTGGTCTTGAGGTACTCGTACCAGCGATTTTTCTTCCTCTTTGATTAGTTGCTCATGGGAAATTGGTGGCCAGACTGTAGCAGACATGATGATTTCGAGCTTTCGGGGTTTTCTTCCTCTCGATACTCAGTTTCCCAATGAGGAAGTTATAAGGGAAAATTGTCGGTTGAAAAGCCTGGCTCTGAGGCTCCCTGCAACGACGGCTATCACCGCTTTCCGTGCATACCTAGCCAGCTTTCTATGCGGAAAGAAGCTGGGGAAGCGCTAAAGACAATCGGACTTCTAGCATGAGTATTTTCACTTGAAATGCCTACTTGTATAAGTCGTGACAATTCCAGCAAGAGCAATTGAACATTTGAACATTTGAACACTTGAGGAATGGAACCTCGCCGTCGCCAAATATCGGTGTGAATATGATGTCGGTGACGTAGATTGCGCACAGTGGGTGCAATTGGAATGACCCTGTCTCCGTTCAAAGCAGCGGATAGGCCGGGATATTGGGCAGCAGAACAGGGAAATTGCGCCGGGGGCCTTTAGTCCGCCAACGTGACCCAATTCGAATTTCGCGGTTGGCACTAGCAACTACGTCAGCCACAGCTAGTGATTAACAACACGACTTCAATCCTTGTGCGCTCCCTCTCACCTCCACCTCCATCATCTTTTCATTGCTCTCTCTTGCTCACCGGTACGTTTGCGCCTTAATCAAGTCTCTATTCCTCAGCCTCAACGCTCGCATACTAATAATCAAAAGACGCAGGAGTAAACATTCGCCAAGATGTCACCCAGTGAGCTCCTATTGTTCTAATTACACGAGACGACCAGCACTGATGAATCCTAGGAGCACCTCTCGCTGTGGTTTCCCTCGTCCTCATCGCTGGAGCTCTTCTTCTGATGCTTCTGGTTGTAATCGGTGGTGCTGTTGACAAAAATCCAACCAATCAATTCTACTTCCTCCAGGCCGATACTTCCGCCATCCCAGGCGCTCCGGCTACCTCCAGATGGACTTTCTGGAATACCTGCGGTGACACCAACGGACGCAATGCTTGCCCGCACGTACATCCAGCATATGCATTCGATCCCCAGAAGAACTTTGGCACTACCAAGGGAGTGCCGGCTTCCCTCATCAAGCAGTAGGCTATCTCATCCGTCCATTCATTTGGCACGGTACTAATCATCTGTGCAACAGCTCGGACAAGTACTATCTAGAAACGCGATTCATGTTCGCCTTTGAGTTCATCGCCCTCTTCTTCTCTGCTTGCGCCCTCGTCCTTGGTCTCCTTGCCTTGTTCAGCCGCGTTGGCAGCTTCCTTACCAGCGCTCTCTGCTCGGTCGGCCTCTTCTTTCAAACCATTACGGCCGCGTTGATGACGTAAGCCATCTGGACTACGCTGTATTCCTTTCATAACGAGTACGCTTACAAAACATAGTGCTGCATTCGTGCAAGGCCGCGACGCATTCAGATCTGCCGGCACAACCGCTACTCTTGGGAAATATAATTTCGGCTTCATGTGGGCAGCCGTAGCATGCCTCTTCCTCGCCATGGTCTTCCTTTGCGTGGGCGGCGCGACGTCCAGTTCAGGTGGCAGGAAAAAGTCCGGAGGAGGCCGATTCGGGAGACAGAAGAGCTCAAGGAGCCGAGGTAGCTTCATCGACAAGGAGACGGCAGTGGATGGTACCAATGGTGTTGATGGTGTTGATGGTGACCGTTCATCATTTGTCCGCGCATAAATCAAAAGCGTGGTTACAGATGGTCCAGGAAGAAACAGGGGCCAAAGTCAGTGAAGCGTTAAGGGACGGAAGGTCTGCTGCTGCGATGATATCCATTCCATCGGTATTTCCTAAGTACATGATGCATCGATGGAGCGTTCTATGGCTTTGGAAGCCGGAAAGGTGATAGTAGTGGTAATTTGGACCGCGTGGATTTGCTTTTCTGAGGCACTCAATTACTTATTATCTAATTGTACAAACACCACAACAATCACCTGCTTTCGGAGCTTTGCGAAGGTTCATTTGTATATGTAGTCTTCACAAAGCAAATTGTTAAAAGGGTCGATAGTATGCCTGGGCGACGAAAAGCACATCCATGCGCTAGTGATTGCTAGCGCGTAATGTGCATCACTGGGGGTCACGGGGTCCTTGAAGCATCATTCTTCGAAAGTCGTATGTATAATGTCGCAACCTCAACAGCGAAACGTCAGTAGATCATCGCCATGACAGAAACTCAACAGCCGCCTCTAAACTGGGAGGCTTCGGCGACAGCTACACATCCACAGGTCTCATCATCTTTGCCCTCAGAAGTGGAGGCATGTCTTAAGAACGCCAGATTTGTATGTTTTCGTGACCCGAACAGTCTTTGGAAGACACTAACCACATAAATAGCTACATCTTGCAACATGCGATGCCATGTTTCCCCACATCTCTCTTATGAATTACACATACCTTTCCTCGACGCCCTTCAACTCCAACCCAGTCATCATCATGACCACGAACCCTTCGTCTAAAAAGACTCTCAACCTGATAAACAACCCCCGGGTATCCATACTCGTCCACGACTGGGTCTCCCATCGACCTCCGACTCGAAATCCAGATCCTACTCGCGAAGGCTCTCCGCCACCTCAAGCAACACGCTCGAGTCTCGCCAGCTTGTTGCTGAATATCAATACGAGCGCATTGAGCAGTATCAGCGCTACCATCAACGGCGAAGCGAGGATGGTAGGCGAAGGCAGTGACGAAGAGAAGTGGTGCAAAGAGAAGCATCTCGACAACAACACTTTCGGGGATCAGGCCAGGGAAGAGCAAGGGTTCTTCGGGTCGACGCCACATGCACAGGCTGAAGGTGATGGGGGAGCAAGCTGTTACATTGAAGGAGAGGAAGTCCGGGTCGTCCTCGTCGATGTAAAGGAAGGACGGATAGCAGACTGGAAGGGGGGAGTGAAAGACTGGACTCTTGTTCCTGAGGAGGGGGATGGGAGAGGCAGGCAAGAACTGGTCAATGGCGTTCCCTGATTCATGGGGTTTACAAATGCATAGCTACAGGCGTTGTTCATGCTCAGCGATAGTCTATATCACTCCATTGCCAGAATCGTTGAAACGGAGATCCGAACAGCCGGACGTCACTCCGCAGAAAAAGTCTTGGCGGTCCAAGACGACAGAAATGTGCTCTCGGGGCTGGCCGCTTCTAGGGTGAGCAAGGGTGCGGCACTAGCACTCGACGCGCGTATTTTTCCACTCAAATGGCCGGATATTTTGGAACCGCTAGGGGCTCTCGTCCGGCCAAGTCCACATGTCCTCGGAACTGGCTGTAAACCTGAATATGTATATGAGAGCGGTGCGCCGCCTGCTCTGGCTGTTCTGACCAGAAGATTGCAATCATGGTCTCCCAGCATATTCATGCTCGACCCTCCCTCTATTCTCAACGATCATGGTTCGCAAAGGAGTGTCTGCTAATGATTTCATCTACAGACTCTGCTGTCATGACTTTGAAGTGTTCAACCAAAACTATCACGTCTTGCATTTGGCGTTGTACTGTTTGTTTGTCCCTATCCACATGACCAAAAACCTAAGGCAATCTTTTAATGTGCCCACCTCATAACGGCAGACTCGACTGCTATCTATTCCTGGTTCTCATTCGCCCCTGGCTTCCACTTTAGATATGCCCAGCGATTGGCTTTGGAGCGTATGGCCCTTCCCAATACTTCACCTCATCTGCACTCAGCGTCATGTCCCGCACAGCACACGCTTCATCTAGCCTCTCGATACTGGTACTGTTCAAGTCGACGATGGGGATGCAACCTTTTTCTCTGATCCACACCAGGGCAACTTGATTCATCTTCCAGCCCTTCCTCTCAGCTACCTCCTGAACTCGTTTATTGATGATTTCATCTGCTTCCGTAAGCCCACCGCTCATAGCAACACTCATCTTCGACCTGGCAGACTCGACTCCCCATGGCTTTGCCAGCAAGCCGGAGAACAAATGCCCCCATGGGATCAAACCCACTCCAGTCTCGTTACAGAACTTGTTCATTCCCCTCTCCTCCTCGCTGTAACCAAGATTGTACCGGTTCTGCATGCTCACGAAGTTTGTCCAGCCATTCTTCTCAGCGATAAATTGCATGCGGGCATTTTGGTATGTCCACATGGAGCTTGCGCCGATGTAGTTGACTTTGCCGGCTTGGACGAGGTCGTGAAGCGCTTTCATGGTCTCTTCCGGAGGAACCGAGGCGTCGTACATATGGATCTGGAGAAGGGCGATATAGTCTTTTCCGAGACGCTTGAGCGAGGCATCAACGGCTTTGAGAATCGCGCCGCGTGATAGGCCTACCCGGCCCAAGATATTCAGCCCAAGCACCTATAGGACGACGCCTCATATTGACACAGAGCTGCTCACCGCCTTGGTTGACATAGTCTTTACTCTTTTGCATCCGCGCCTCAAACGGCCAGCTGAAAATGCCCGGTTCGTCTGGGACCGTTCCACAGCAGTTGGCCAAGATGGTAAGCTTGTGCCGGGGTAGCGCAAACTTTTGAATCGCTTTCCCAATGATCTCCTCGTTTATGCCACTCGAATAGACGTTGGCGGTATCCCAAGTTGAGAGGCCTTTTGTTAATTGAACTACAAATCATCAGTATATCTCGACATGTCTTATTTACCTCTGTCTCAGGCCGCTTTCAGTATCTCTAACCCTTCGTCTTCCTCCATCACCCAATTCTGCCAGTCCTTACTGCCAATATCCATAGTACCGAGGATCGGCGAGGAGACTCGAAGCCCAGAGGAGCCTACGCAAATTTCGGAATCAGCATGGCTTTCTCAGGGCAAGAAGCCGAGTCGTAACCCATGTCTGGGGCAGAAGTAGAGCGCTCTGCTCTCAAAAGATGGCTTTCCAAGCCCGAAGCTTGTGAAAATAGGAGGCATGGTTGCTCCGAAATGTACGTACCCAGCTGGACATACTCGACCTTGGTGGCATTCACGATGATTTGCAGCGATGCGGGGACAGGCGGCGCAGGCATTTTGGGGGAGAAAGTTTTCGAATCCAAGGTAAGCATTCACGAAGTATCGATGTTATCTACAGCATCCGCATGCAACGACGCCTTGTATATAGGCAGAGGAATCTACCTGCGGACCAGGATCAACTTAATCAACGGACTTATGAGATAAGCTCTTCGTGAGAACAAGCATCTCTTACCATTGGACACGGGAGTTTGGCGGAGATAGACATCTCGAGAGTATCTCCTGACTGGACTAGACACAGCAAATGTCCCACTGACAAATGCGCAGTGGACCTAACAGCCAGGTCACCTGCTTCCGTCATAGGGAACGATCATGTGCCCATGCGAACATAGGTCGTAGAATTATATCTCAGCGCAGCATCAATTGTCGATACTGTCCATGCCTTTGCCATTTCGAGCTTGGCACCCGAAGCCACTAATCGTTCAGTCGCACCACTCTTCGCGGGTTGCTCCTAAGCAGGACTAGCTCCTAAAGAAAAAGAAAAAGAAAGACGTTAACTTCGTCTTTCAAGCTGCAATTCAATGTCGGTTTCTCGCAGGTTTCTCCCCAGAGGGACTAGGAAGGTTCTTTAGTCTTGCCTATCGGTGCAGGGACGAATATTAGTCAACGGAGTAGTGCCATCTTGTCTATCTAGACTTGGGAGTTGCTTGACGGGCATGCAGCTGAGTACTACAGTCAATCGATTCAACTAGCGCATCAGATCTTACTCTCCTAATGTCAGGCCCTTGGCTATGAAACATCCACTGTCGTCTCGTCGCTCTCTTAAGAGCGAAAACCCGATATGCAGTATCGTCCAATAATTCAATTACCTTTGGAAGCACTGCATCCGCGAAAGTATCAGCAAAGTCATGACTTCGAGCCAGAAAGCCATCACGAAAGTCGTACTCGGCGCGATGTCGTTCGGCCGGAAGAGTATGCAAATCGTTGTAAGAGGATTGAACGACAGTCATGCATAAAGGGGACCATTACCCCAGCGAAGATCCCAAATTTCACGGAGATAACATAAACAGTCAATTCATTCTGGTTGATACGCACAAAAGTAATCAAAAACGAAAAGATGGGGGCTCTTAGGGTTGCCACTTTTCTTGACGATTTGCCTGTGCGGATTTGCAATTTTGAGTTTCTCTCTATGCATGACTTTTGCTACAATCGCTTATCTCTCCTCTGCGTTCGAGGTTGCTAATTCTACTCAAAGATGTGGCACCGCATTGCCGGGTCACTGATCTCGACTCTGGGAACTCAATCTTGGACGTCTTCCAGAAGCATGGGTAAGTCCACGATGGCGCCTCAACATTAGTACCGCTCATTCCAATTAGGCACACCGAGATCGATACCGCACGCCGTTACGGGAACGGCACACCGGAGACCATGCTCGGCGATTTGAAACGTCAGGAGCGAAGTCTAGTTATAAGCACAAAGGATCTTCCAGCGTTCCATTCGAACCCCGAGACTGCCATACCTGAGGGCTGGGGTACGTCCTTGCTTTCTTCCGCCTCCGCAACGATCAAAATGCTATTGCGCACACACAGACTTCGACCAACACTACCATCCCGATATGCTCCGCCTAACTCTCCAGAAGTCACTCGCAGAGCTCAGAATGAACCTGTTGCACGTCTATTGTTTTGGCCTTGACGGCTCTGTCCCTCAAAGCAACATTTTTTGCGGCATCAACGAGGTCCACCAAGAAGGCCTCTCTGCCAAGCTCGGCCTCACCTGTCTTCCCACATGGGAAGTCGCGCAGATCTGCGAGCTGTGCGATCGCGAGGGATGGGTCAAGCCGTCAGTCTATCAAGGCAAATACAACGTCCTCCATCGCACCGTAGAGCCTGAGCTCTTCCCCTGTTTGAGGCACTACGGCATCAAGTTCTACGCGTTCAACCCAATTGCGGGGGGCTTCCTGGCCGGCGGTGAGTCACATGAGAGAAACAAGAATGGGAGCTATGGGAACGAGAAATATTTTGCTGCGATGGAGCTGCCGGATCCCGTCGTTGAGAAGCATGGGTCGACGCTCAGGGAGTGTGCGCTGAGGTGGTTGGCGCATCATAGCCTGCTTGGCGTGGGGAAAGGCGACGCAGTCTGGATGGATGCGAGCAGTGCGGCGCATTTGGAGAGCAATCTTGAGAAGGGCCCGTTGCCGGACGTGGTTGTTGGGGCGTTGGATAGGGGATGGGAGAGGGTTAGGGGGGTGCGCTGGAAATACTGGGGTTGAAAGTTCGGGCGATTTCTGGCAATACCGTTGTTGATTGCACGTGATCTCCAGTTGAGCAAGCAGCTTGAATTTTGTAGGGATCTTCTCGTATCTAAACGGCCGGACGTCACTCCGCAGAAAAAGTCTTGGCGTCGCGTCAACCTCGAAATGAATCCGCGCGCCTAGAGGTTTTGAAGTTGCTTCCTTGTTGCACTAAAAACCTCCAAAGGATTGCGTTGCTATTCAGTGCATGTTCTCTAGCTCAAGATGGTTTACATTCGTCAGAAGAAGTTGGAAAGTCTTCACGACTACAAATACGCCGGAGTTGACCACTCGTTGACATCGAAATACGTGCTCAAGCCCTTCTACAACAATGTGGTTATCAAGTGCTTTCCTATGTCTATGGCGTAAGAATCTTTAGCTGTGTTTCGACGCATGATCATACCGCTGACAGTTTTAGTCCAAATGCTGTGAGTTCATGAGAACAAGTGTCCTTCTAACGTTCACTTATGGCGACGCTTGCTCAGATCACCCTGTCCGGCTTTAGCTTCGTCGTCCTCAATTTTTTGACCTTGCTTTGGTACAATCCAAGTCTCGATCAGGATATGCCCCGCTGGGTGTACGCCTCCTGGTCCATTGGACTGTTCCTTTACCAGACCTTTGACGCAGTGGATGGCATACAAGCGTATGTAGAGACGTTCGGTGAAGGGCTCTACGAGGTACTGATGCTGGGATCTTAGACGGAGAACACATCAAAGTGGACCTCTTGGAGAATTATTTGATCATGGTGTGTTCGACTATGAACTTCAGAGCTTGCTCAGGGCTGATCTCTGGGCCAGGTGTGGATGCATGCAACACAGTTCTAGAAGTACTTCTTTTTGCAGCCGCTATGAACCTAGGTCAGAGCTGGTCCACCATTTTGACCTTATTTGGCTGTAAGCCTCTCTCCCCACATCTGTCCTGCGCTCTTCTCTGATTGTCCTTAGCGACGCTCACGTTCTACATACAAACGTGGGATGAGTATTATACAGAGACCCTTATATTGGGCATCGTGTCTGGACCCGTCGAAGGAATCTTGACACTTTGCGTTGTGTATGCAATTACTGCTGTGAAAGGAGGAGGCAGCTTCTGGCAACAATCCATGCTTGAAACCATAGGCGTTGCGAAACATGGAATCATTCCCGACTACTTTTATGAAATGCCCTGGAATCAATGGTACATGGTATACGGGGGTGTTGTGCTGGTTGCGAACACCGTACAAAGGTAAGTCGTTCGACTCGCATCAGCTATTCTGTGCTGACACTGCATAGCATCTTGCATGTCATGGAAGTACAGCGCGAACGGAAACAGTCCGTCACAAAGCCGCTTTATGGACTTGCTCCCTTCTTCGTCGCTTCAGCCCATGTCGCTGCGTACCTCTACCTCCAGCCGGTTATCCTCAACCACCATCTCATACCCTTCGTCTTCTACGCTGGCTTGCTCAATGCATACTCGGTTGGCCGAATGATCGTGGCACATCTGACCAAGGATCCCGAGTTCCCCATGCACAACGTCCTTACGTTCCCTCTGGGCCTTGCAGTCGTCGACTCGCTAGGCCCGACATTGGGACTCTGGCCAAGTGCCTTGGGATTCGGGACATATCAGATCGCTTTTGTCTTCATGCTGATGGGCCTGAGTTTTGGCGTCTATGGCAGCTTCGTTGTAAGCCCTCCCGTGAAAACTACGGTTTATAACGCTGATTGTTCGTAAGCATGACGTTATCACTACGATTTGTGACTACCTCGATATATGGTGTTTGACCATAAAGCATCCATACAACGAGGAAGAAGAGTCAAAGAAGGGAAAGTAGGAAGAGGCATCCTAGGTAAGGTCGTGCTAGAAAGCATCTCATCTGGGGATTGACTGGGGGTCAGGTTTAGCGTTCCAAATTCTTTGATATGATACCACAGCGTGATTCTGTTTTGCTAGCGATTCTAATATGCAACACAGGAATCTTCTTCGTTAGGTTCTACGAATCTAGCAATCCTCATTTTCTAATACCATCTTCTCAATGCACCATGGACGCCCGTCGCTATGCTTGAAATCCAAAGCCCTTTTCGTCTCAAAAGGGGACATCCATATCCTCGACCCGTTCCTCCTCTTTATCCTCTTTCTTTCCCTCTCCCTCCCCCTCCATACGCTGTTTCACAAACCCCACAACGGCATCTAACCACGGCTTTTGACTGGGAACGAAGTGACCTCCAGGATGCACCACCACCATTCCCTCTCCGCCCTCGCAAACACTCACCAACTGCATTCCCCTGACCTCATCAACCACCACATCCACCTGCCCCAGCACATTCAACACCTTCGTCCTAATCCGCGGCTCATAGAAAGCTTCATACAACTTCCCCGGCGCCCTGAACCCACTGTAGCACACCGCAAACTTGAGCGGAGCCTGCACGAAGCCGTCAACCTCTCCGAGGAAACTCGCCGGATACGGCATCCCCCCTCGAGCCTCCGCCTCCGCAAACGCCTCCTTCCGCGTCCGACCTTCCAGCAAACTCGCAACCATGGCGGCGGCCGCCGCCCCCTGACTGAACCCCACGACCCCGTCGAACGGCCCCTCCTCCCGTATACAATCCGCCACGCTCTGCAACCCCCGCTCGATCCCCTCGTACACCACCCCCGTCTCCGCCTCCTTCCCCTGCCCGTCTTTCATCACGTGATCCTTCCGTCTCCACCACCCGTACGCCTCCGGCGCCTCGGCGACGGGCACGGCGGGGTCGTGGCCCGGTATGTCGGCCCCGGCCAGCCGGTGCGGCGCGGGGACGTAGCGGAGGTGCAGGTTCGGAAAGGGGCGGGCGAGGGATTTGGCCAGCGCGCGGGTCTTGGCGTGGAAGAGGGGCGGGGATTGCGTGAAGCCGTGGAGCATGAGGATGCGGAGGGGTGGGGGGGCGGGGTTGGGGGTCGGCGGGGGGGCCATGGTGGGGAGGGTCCGACGGGGTGCGGGAAGCCGGGCGGTGAGGCGATGTCGGGGGTTGGGTTTGAGGAGGCTGCCTCTCATGTGGTCATTTTTTTTTCTCTCTTTCTTTCTTTCTGTGCCGAGGGTTGAGACACGGTCAGAGCTTATCTCCGGCCCCCCTCCGGTGTTCGCCAAGAAATCCAGGGTTCATCCCGCTGGGTGGACGGCGGAACTCTGCTTATGTCTGATGTCCAAATATTATCTCAACTGGACGAGCTCCCGTGAAAGGGGTAGAGTGAGACGCCTTTACTGCGATGAAGGGAAGTGTTTACTCTCTGAACCTTTCACAGGCAGGCATAATGACTGGATCTTTTCTTTTCTCTCCATTTCGTGAGCAAGTTACATAGAGTACGCCGCCTCCCAGACACCATCAGTGTCATTCTATGCTTTCTCAACCAAAACGCCTGGCCCAGTGCTATGACTAACCTTCTCCGTTAGATGATCGTACTCCTCTCCAGCTTATCATTCATTTCGCCGTCCGCCAGAGCTGTTTGATTCTTGCTTGCCCGCTTCTTGATGACGTTTTCAATGAACGCTTCACCAGCTTTGTATGAACTGCGAACCAAGGGTCCACTAGCGCAGTACAAGAAGCCCATGTCCAGGGCACGCTGGCGCCAAGTCTCAAAGACTGCCGGAGTAACGTATGTGTGTACGGGCATATGTCGTTTTGTAGGCCGCATATACTGCCCGAAAGTCACAACGTCAACGTCGACTTTCCTCAGTTCTTTTAGTGTCTCCCAGAGCTGCTCCTCCGTTTCTCCCAGTCCAAGCATGATACTTGTCTTCGTGATAAGTCCTTCCTTGGCCACTTTGGCGTGCTTCAAGACGCTCAAGCTCTGCCTAAACTTCGCTCTCCGGTCCCTGACCATCGGTGTCAAATCCTCCACCGTCTCAACATTATGCGCATAGACATCCAATCCGCTCCTGGCGACTTTAGCCACCATCTCTAAATCCCCAGCATAGTCACCTGTCAAAGCTTCCACCAGCATCGCAGGAGCTTTGCTTTTGATCTTCATAATGGTCTCCGCGAAGTGACGAGCACCTCCGTCCGCCAGATCATCCCGGTCAACAGATGTAAGCACCACATACCCCAGCCCCCACCGCCGTAATGCCTCGGCTGTATGCTCCGGCTCATGGGGATCCAAAGGCGGAGGCGCCTTACTTGTCTTCACACTGCAGAATCTACACCCCCTCGTGCACGTATCGCCCATAAGCATGATTGTAGCCGTAGCGGCACTCTTGTCAGACCCACCCCAGCAGTCGCTAATATTTGGGCATCTCGCTTCCTCACAAACAGTATGTAGATTCAATCCACGTAGATCTCGTTTAATAGACTTGTAATTTTCGTTGTTAGGTATGGGCGTTTGAAGCCAGGATGGGAGGCGAGTGATTTCTTTCTGCTTGCCGGCGGGGCCAACGAAGGCTGTTCGAATCTCTGGTGCATCATTCTCGGGCGGAGGAGATGTGAAGTCTGAGAGCGAAGGTCCGGTGTTGAGGCGGTCGCGAAAGATGGTAGGAGAGCGACGAGTCGTTGAAGTTGGAGGGGCGATGGGCTCAGTGGGTTCGGAGACTGCGGTGGCAAAGGTGCGGGTGGAGGATACCGAGGGACGTATAGGATGTATAGATGTAGCGTATAGGCAGCAAAATCGTGTTGCTTTGGAAGCCATATCGTATGATTTGGCCTAGGAAGATGGGCTCAAGAATGATGGATATTTAGTATCTAATCGAAAGGTCGGCGCTAGCCGAGTACGGTCATTCTAAAGATCGAGGATTCACACTTGAAAATCTACTCGTGAGGAGGCCCGAAGCACATTCGCCTTGAAGCGTAGCATGCAGGTATCTCTTACCAGACAGCGATTCTGTCACTACTGCTCCTCCCAGCTGCTGTTCCTTTTCGCAAATGGATTCTCATCAACTGCCAGACTTCCCAAGTATGGAGCAAAGCCGTGGAGTCAATACAGACTTCAGACACGATCCTTTAACGCCGCGCGAAGACTTCGGGCCTCAGTCGAACATGTTGAGGCTCACGAGAATGAGCTCCCGAAAACTCCTGCGCAGATGGAATCGATAGTACGCCAGGCACGCGAGACATTCGGAGAGACTTTGCCAAAAGATTTTCTTTCATCGGAAGAATACACGGTCTACGAGAGGCTTTACGGTCCGCCATCCGCAACTACGCTACCTGAAGATTTCGATCTGCTTCGAGGCGCGGAGGAAGAAGAGGGCGACTCCCCTGAAAACGTGCTCATGAGAGAAAACGCTGAGGGCAGACTGGAAGAGGTCATCTACGAGGAAGTCCCATCTGACGAAGATGAATTGATGGACGATGACGCAGAGCCGATGCCCTCGGAAACAGAAGCAGAGTTTCAGGCGCGGATGGCAGTATTCCGAGACATAGCTGCGGCGAACGCTTCACAAGCAAAAACAACCGAAAAGAGCTCGCAAAAATTGGAACCAGTAGAACCCTCAGACGATCTCTTGTCGTCGGAGCAATTGGCAATCGAGGACGAAGATACCGAAGACTTTGAACAAGAAGATGAGGCATACGAGAGCGGCGATTCTGTAAGGACACATCCGTTGACAGTCGCTGGACGGTTCAGCACGTCACCAGCTACGATACAGATACCCAAGGATACCGTCATCGACCCTATCACAGCTCTACTTGCAGACGCCTCTAACAAGCAACTGTCCGAAGTCGCCCAGAAGACTTTTGGTGGGCCTAGATTACCAAATTCTACAGCCACGATATTTAGGGCACATCTCAAGCAGCAACCGATTGCGTTGGAGGCATCTCAGTCTAACATGGGCGAGATGGAAGGTAATGCCTATATCGCTGCAATAATGCCTGGGGCATATGCTACTGTAACGAGCACATTGGTAGAGATCCGCAAGCGCTTAGGATCTGAGTGGATACGCAAGCTCATACAGAACAAAGGCGGTCCTCGTGTTTTAGACGCTGGGGCGGGAGGTGCTGGCATTCTTGCATGGCGGGATATTATGCGTGCAGAGTGGGAACTCATGCAACCCGACGGAGTTCCACCCAATAAGCCTCCGCCGTATGGCAAGTCTACTGTCGTTACTGGGTCGTCTGCATTACGAAACAGGGCAAGCCACTTGCTGGACGATACGACGTTCATTCCCCGTCTTCCAGACTATGATCCGTCACGAGACCATCCGTCCCTTGAAAACAAGAACCCTCAACCCAGGAAACAGTACGACATCATCTTGGCGCCTCATACTCTATGGACACTGAAAGAAGACTACATACGAAAGAACCAAATTCAGAACTTTTGGTCTCTACTGGATCCGAAAGGTGGTGTCCTCGTTCTGATTGAGAAAGGGGTCCCAAGGGGTTTCGAGCTCATTGCAGGCGCAAGGGAAACGCTATTGAAGTATCACGTAGCATCACCAGGAGACGAAGAAGTGGAAGCGCCCGTTGAAGCTGCTTCTCCGAATCGTTTCGGGCACAAGGAAAAGGGCATGATCATCGCTCCGTGTACGAACCATGGGAAATGCCCAATGTATATCACAGCTGGACGGAGCCAAGGTAGAAAAGACTACTGTCATTTCTCGCAACGCTACATTCGCCCACACTATTTGCAACGTATCCTCGGCTCGCGAGAAAAGAATCACGAGGACATCTTATTTAGCTACGTGGCTCTTCAGCGCGGCATTGACCAGCGGGAGGAGGACAATATTATGCAAGGCCAGGGAGCCGTAGAGGCTGCTTTTGCAGGGTTTGAGGATGCGGAAGGGATTGAAAGCACGAAAAGCTCGCAAGAGGCCATTGATCCTAAAGTCGCAAGTGTCAGCACCCTCAGCTTACCTCGGGCGATTCTTTCGCCAATAAAGAGACGCGGTCACGTCATCCTCGATCTTTGCACTCCTGCAGGTAGGATAGAGCGGTGGACTGTTCCGAAGTCTTACAGCAAACAGGCCTATCGGGATGCACGTAAGTCCAAGTGGGGAGACCTATGGGCTCTCGGCGCCAAGACCAGGGTCCAGCGAAATATCCGCGTCGGTCTGAATAAGGCGAAGACCCAGCGAAAGGATGTACTCGATGCCGCTGAAGAGACAGACGACATACAGGACTTCCAAACGCCTGGACCCGCTTTAGGAAGAAAATCGAAAAAGAAAAAGCTGGCGCGAAAGATTTCCGAAGACGACTACTAGAATAACCCAGTGATTGCAATAACCTACCGCCGAGCTACCTATCTTCACGCGGTACCTGTTGTTTACGGAGTCAAGGATGGGAATGCTGCCTCAAACTGAGCCAAGCATTCCCACGGAAGAGCGGTGCCTAACCGCGTGCTTTATCCCTGGGCATGAGTAGACCGCCGACCTTGAGCCTTCGGAACTGTAGGTCTAGTGATTGGCAGTGTTGCACCCGATGAAACATGCCTTCAGCCTATGAAAACAATGTATATTATATGTACAGTACCATATTTCGCCTCATCCTCATTCTTTGCTCTCTGTTGGCCTTAAAGCCCACAATGCTATCAAATGGTTGGGTCACAACCTCCAAGCTTTTCTGTTGGTGACCGGCTCCGACGTCTTTGCAACTCAGAGTCATACGATCAGCGAGGTACAATCTCCAAGACAACCTGCCTTTATAATTACCTTTTACCCTCCTCGTTCTTGTCCCAGTGCGACTCAGAGTACAAGCCTTCTGTTCTGCTCCAGTTGCAGCAGTATCGGAAGAAACTTGCCATCCAATACTGCCAGCGTCCCAGCCATATTACACTTCTGGCTTTTGCTTTTCGTGACCGCATCTTTCTGAAAGAGCACCACCGTACTCCGAACAACAAGGGCAGAGAATAGTCATCATGTTCAACAACGCGGCAACATATGACCGCTGGGGAAACCTAACGTCACCAGAACAACCCGCCCAAAATGTCCGTCCTCCTACCGCCGCATGGTTAGGACAAGGTAGCACGTACGGGAATGCCTATGATTTCCTC